AATTAACTTTTTCAAGAATTTAGCTGCGAGACTGAGAAATACATAGTATTTGTTTAACTGTATTTCAAGAGTTAGGTTTCTTGTTCTGATTAACTAGATTAAAAGGAGACATGGTAGCTGGATATATATGTTGTCTTAGCAAAAAACAATGATCACTTTGTCAACCACAAGTTTGTATCTTCATGTTATTTTTATGCAGTTATTGAAAGATCTGTGTCTCAGATTCTCACTCTTTCTTAGAGATTCCTAGCTATTGATCTTTTGCCGTCATCATTCTGTAGCAATTGTTTCTGAGAGACTGTAGTTTTTACAACTGGCCTAATCTGAGATATTCCAGTTTGTAGAAAATTTCCCACAAGCTGGAAATTCTGTCAAATCTTCGTTTTGCGTTGGTGTTTCCAAAACAAAATTTGTTCTCCATGACCCCAGCAGCTCCTGACTGTAATTGACGTGATTCTTGTCAGTCTTGTACTGCCCACCATCTGACTGACACTAACAGGGTTTCCAGGGTCCACAGCTGTGGGAAGACGCCACCATGTGGTCTATCCTGGGGCCGGAGACCCAAGAGATTCCAGGTTCTGTGGCTCCTGGGCAGGCCTGCCATACAGACTATACCAGGGCCAGGCATCCCACAGTTTCCAGGCTCCTAGGCCAGCTGGTTCCCCAGGCTGCCAGACATTTTGGACAGCTGTCTTTTAGAGTCTATGGGAGTCAAGCAGCCTGCAGAGCCAGCTGGCCTGAAAGCCTGGAAGCCCTGAGCTCTCTGGTCATAGGGCAGTCTGCATGGCAGGGCTGCCCTGGAACTGGAGACCCTGGAATCCCAGGGTCCCAGCAGCCAATTAGGGAGATTTGCAATGGAAACCTGCTGCAGTTCTTTGGAAGTTTGTCAAACAAGATACCTGCCTGTGAAACGCTTTGGATTTGAGGAATCAGCATTTCCTGACCAGCTCTAGCAGCTTTCCCTTCTATCCTGGACTCTCAGTTTAGCTGGGGAAGAGTGTGGAAACTACTTAATTAGGAAATGCAGGGACTAGTTTTTTCACTTGTTAGGTTTTGCGGGGAAAGGAGCCTGGGTCCCTTTTTACATCAGTTCTTTTTTATTTTTTTACAGTCATTATTTATATAAAAAAGTGTCGTAGGCACTTCACAGACAAGCAGGGAGTCACAGTTCATACCTCGAGAAGGTAATTTGGTCCCGACACCCATGTATTCTTTGGTCTCCTGGCTGAGGCAACCAGCAAGTATACTAGGTAGAGGACTTGCCATACAAATATTGACATTTACTAATTAAAGAAATCAGTACAATTCTGATGATCTCGATCTATCTCCCAATGTTCAGATGTCTACAGCAGGAAACCCACCACAGATGGCACTGCAGTGTTGCCAGTTGTGTTTTTTTAAGGATGTCGCAACATGTCCACTGAGGACTGCACTGGGATAATCAAGTTCATTTCACATGCCACTGAGCAGCCAACTGAGAGCAATTAGCTTTGGTCACTACTAACCGAAGTTGGGTAAGCACCCACCACACTTCGGACCCTGTAAAATAATAAATAATACTTTTCAATAGTGACAAAGGAGAAAAGATCTATATTTCATTATCAATCCCTTGAGCCATCCAGTCTCCCTTTGTCTATTGTATTTAAATTTTGTAATGTATGTACTGTAGGATTTCAAACCCTGCCCCCCTGAGATTGGTGAGTAAATAAGTCTCACCTATACTAACATTTGTATTGGATGGTCTCACAGGAATACAGTACTCTGTGGACTGAAACCCCTAATCATCGCTAGAGGGCAGCTGAGCAACGTTTGAAGTGTAAGTACTAAACAGAACATTTTATAAAGTGTCTAAAATAATTGTAAGTGAAGCCAACAAACCAAATAATCTGTTTTGCAGGCTTTGTAACTGGTGAGCACATGAGTAAATAATCAGAATTTAGGGGACCAAATAGTCTCTCAAAAACACCCAAACTTTTGGCCCAATTTTTAAAGGTGATAAGAACCTGCAGATTCCATGGATTTCAGTGGGAGCTGAGTTTGCTCAGCACTACTAAAAATCAAGCCACAGCTAGAATTGTTCACATATTTTGCTTTATTTCTACCATAATCTCTTTTGTGTGTAGTTTGGGGGAACTGATCTCAGTAATGTTCTTTTGGTCTTTGTGGGCAAGCAGCCACTTCCCCTACCAACCCAGAGGCTCTCAAACTGTGGGTTGGGACCCCATTTTAATGGGGTCACCAGGGCCAGCATTAGACTCTGAAGCTGAAGCCTGAATCCCGCTACCCTAGGCTGAAGCCGAAGCCCAAAGGCTGAAGCCTGGGGCAGCGGGGTTCCAAGCTCCAGCTCCTACCGGGGTCATGTAGTAATTTTTTGTTGTCAGAAGGGGGTTGCAGTGCAATGAAGTTTGAGAACTGCTGAGGCAGGTTAACCCTATTTCGTACACTAATAGTATAGAAATGGGATGAGATTTATTAGGTGAACCCCTTGGGCTAACATTTTTTATGGCTGCTTCTTTTCTTGGGGGGAAGGAATAGAGGATTATTCTGGTGTGGGAGCTCACTGGTCCCCCTCCAACTTTGGATAGAGAGTCACTTCTGTTGGGACCCCTCTTTTTAAGCTTACCTCATAGGCACCAACTGCATGGGTGCTCCGGGGCTGGAGCACCCACGGGGAAAAATTGATGGGTGCTCTGCACCCACCGGCAGCTCCCCGCCCCGCTCCCCCTCCTCCCCTGAGCGTGCTGCTGGATCCTGCTTCTCCCTCCCTCTCAGTGTTTGCACCGCCAAACAGCTGTTTCATGTGGCAAGCCTGGGAGGGAGGGAGGGAGGGTGGAGGAGGAGGAACGCATGCTTGGGGAGGAGGCAGGGCCGGGGCGGGGATTTGGGGAGGGATCCAATAGGGGCGGAGCTGGGGGGGACAGGGCGTGAGCACTCACCGGCGCCGACAAAAGTTGGCACCTGTGGCTTACTTTGAGAACTGACTTCACTTCTGGGGTGGAGACTCACCCTGTTATCAGGGAGACACTGTAAAAGCTTCCTTGTTGGTTTGCATACAACACTTAGTAAATTGTTCCAATGGTTAATAACTCTCACTGTTAAAATTTTACACCTTACTTCCGGTCTGAATTTGTCTAGTTTCAACTTCCAGCCATTGGATCATGTCATACCTTTCTGTGCTAGATTGAAAAGCCCATAACCTGCTCTATTGAACTAGAGAGAGAGACTCAAGGAATTCTATCCCTGTAAGGCATGTTTTCAAATCCTTTAATCAATCTTTTGGCTCTGAACCCTCTCCAATTTATCAATACCCTTCTTGAACTGTGGGCACCAGAACTAGACACAGTATTCCAGCAGCAGCCACACCAGTGCCAAATACAGAGGTAAAATAACCTCTCTACTCCTATTAATGAGTCCCCTGTTTATGCATCCAAGCATTGCATTAGCCCTTCTGGCCACAGAGTCACACTGGGAGCTTGTGTTCAGCTGATTGTTCACCATGACCCCCAAATCTTTTTCAGAGTCACTTCCCAGCCCCATATTCTGTAAGTATAGCCTATGTTCTTTGTTCCTAGATATGTACATTTACATTTAGCCACATTAAAATGCATATTGTTTGCTTGGACCCAGCTTACCAAGAGTTCCAGATCGCTCTGTATCAGTGACCTGTCCTCTTCATTTTTACCACTGTCCCAGTTTTTTTATGTCAGCTCCAAACTTTGTCGGTGATGATTTTGTTTTCTTTCAGGTTTTAAATGCTAAATAGCACAGGGCCAAGACATCATCTCTATAACTCCTCTCTTAAGATAGAGTGGAGCTCAAGTACTATGCCAGATTACATTACAGACGTACACTTAGGAGTTTAAACTTCTTTAGCGAAACATTTGAGATACTTCCTCTCCCAATGTATTTACAATTTTTTCGGTTAAGTAACCTTGATTTATCTCAAGAAACTGTCAGTATAAAATTTTGTGACAGTAAACTGAAGAGTTTAAATTCCTCCCCCCAAGAAAAAAAATACTACACAAGATCCCATATCATTAATACTCTCTGGGCCAAAGGGTATAATGCGATTGACCTTATTCAGGGTCTGAATTTGGCCCTCTGCTTATATATGTTTAAAATTTGTACCTGAATACGATTATTTGAAAAGTCAGTTCTGCCTTTACTTTCCTGCAAAATCCTTAGTTCAGGTTTCTGTGTGTAAGCTGTAACAGCTGCTGATACAGCAGCCACCCAAAACAGTGCTGGCAAATATTGGTGAGGGGAAATGCAGCCAAATTCTTTCCTGATGTAAGTCCTTGGAAGCCAAGATTTGGCAGGTAAGTGAAGAAAGAAAATGAGTTGGAAATGGGGCATTTAGTTGTAAGCTATGGATCTATCTGTGCATTCGAAGTTACCAATATGTTTGGGATCCTAAATAGCATTTTATATCTTTAAAAACCAACAGTGCACGCTTCACCATTCATAAACATTTTGTTTGTTAGCAAAGAAAAAAATATTTAAAAATCCTTCAGACATGTAACGGTGTCTAAATATGTAATTATTGTATCAATGATAAGGAGCAGCAGTTAATTCTCAGGAGCTAGATTGTTCCCTGCTCTAACATTGTAATGCAGGAGAGTAGCAGGGAGTCAGGTTCTCCCAATCCTGTGACCTTCTAGATCACAGCTCCAGGCATGTGGAAAGCAGGAGCTGAGGCCCTGTATGCTGCCCCTCCATCTCAGGAGCTGGTGGACTGAGAGTGAACAAAACCATAACTCTGCCCATCCTACATGCCAGTCAACAGAGCTGGCTGGCTGTGTGCAGGGAGTATGCTGCCCTTGAATTGGATTTTCACAAAAGACTTGCTTCCCTGCCTCCGTGCAACTAAGGAGTGGATTTGTAGTTATCTGAGGCATGAACCCTCCTGAGGTGGTGGTGCTGCATACATTGCAGCCAAAGTGATCAGATACATGGTCAGGCTAGGTTTCAGCAAGAGAAAACAGCAAAGTCACCGAAGCTGAAAAATGCTGAAAGCTTTATTAATCATGTAAGAACAAAATGAACAGGAAAAGACTGCCTGTTAACCCCATACAAAACCTTAAATCCATAGACAGTGACGTCCCCCAATAAAATTATTTCTCTACTCACAAATAAATAGCCAAGGACTGTGCAACATAACTACAAAATTCCGTTTTCTACGTAAAACATTACCTCACTATCACCATTATTTTTGTTTTAAAGAGTCATCCTACTACTTCTTGCCGAAATATTAATGTTGTAAACAGTTGACTGGAATAATTGCGAATGCCCATGATGTAAACGAAGGCTATTTTCCAGGGGTCTTCAGTTGTTTTTATTTATACACATGCACACAAATAACCGTAATGGGTGACCCACTGAAACAATGAGAATACTAAAAAGAAAAAAATTGGCGAAAAGGATAGAACTAAATGGCCTACAACCTTCACAGGGGAAATGGTAAAGGAAAGTACTTTTTGGCTTAAATCAGGACGAACAATGCAAGTTATAATTTTGTTCCTCCTTTCCCCCCTCAAAAGCTGTATTGTTTAGAAATGAAAATACATAGGAAGACTTAGTTATTTGGATTCTGAATAGTCTCACATTTAAGAAGTGAAAAATGGCGATAGTGGAAACTGAAATAAGTAAGAAATGGCGTTTTAAGGCGATGCACAGGTTATTTTTTCTATGTTGCTTTTGATTTTAACTGCTTTAGACTTCTTGGGTTCTTTTTTCCTAAGATATTCTTGTTCTTCTCCGCTCTTGTTCCTACTGGAACTGTTGTAGTGGTTGTGGTTTCCATAATGCATCCACTTATGCATTGGCACTGTTCCACATAGACATAGTCATAATTCATGCTTGTTCCATTGCGGCACGTCAGGGTCACCTCTCTCTTGTGGCTCTTGAGTTCCTGGCAGCAGTTACACTTGTGTTGCATCTGCTGTGCTTCAGAGGAATACCTGCCCGGCCAGATAAAGAAAAGAAATTATATCGCTCTGTAAAATCTTCATCTAGCACACACACTCTGCTAAATATTGCACACTTATAAAAAAACGTATCTATTTGAGAGAGGGCCTGTACCTGTTTCCACTGAGCTCTGTGTGTTTAGCTCAATATAAACAGGAGAGACCAAATTTTGTGGTGTTAGTCTGAGTTTTCTCGTCTCTCCACTGACTTTCATCATTATTTAATGGCAGTTAGTTCTGAGCATGTACGAGACAGAGAGAGAAATCAAGGTGGTCTAAAGAACAACTGATAGGAAGGCTGGGCCAATTTATATGTGATGTACTCTATTTGCCAAATAGCAATAATGGCTTATTTTTGAATACAGGATCTGATTCTCTTTCGCCACTGTGATATATCAGGTGTGACTCTACTGATGGCAATGAATGTAAGTCGGAGGCAAATCAGAACCACAATGTGCATCTTCCTCACTGTTGTTCCAATGGGTGCTTTGCTGTCAGATACTCAATACTCTGCTTTGTGACTTGAACAAGGTTTTGACATCTGTGCGTCTGGCTGTTTAACATCGGGAACGTCACGTTATGTTGTCTGTCAGGCAAAGTGATGGGCGATAACGGCTGTGGTATAGAGTAAGCACTGTCCCGCTCCCCCGAATATTGAAACACACTTCAGATATACAAGCCATCACACTCGATGGAAACACTTGCTATTCAAGTGTATATTAAATTAATTGAAAGTGCATAGGTGATTCCATGCTCAAGCCCACTTGAACAGTTGGATGAAAAGAGGCCACAAAGAGAAATAGATACAAAGAGAGGATATAATGTATTTGTTGCCACTTACATTGAGGAGCTCGCACAAACACCTTCGCAGTATGTCAGTTCAACCGGCTCAGAAGATTCACATTCATTGTGGCGGATCACAGTTGAGTTCTTGTAAACCTTGCAGATTGTTGCTTAAGAAAGAGGAAAAAATAAATAGAAATGGTTCACGTCTCTTCATATTCACAGCTAAGCGAATGCTTAAAGCTGTTCTGAGAGGAAGATGTTTGATTATGCAGGATTCATGCATATCATGCCGTAGCTAGGAAACACACAAGTACTTTAGTTGGGGATTTAAGTTTAAGTCCCAGTCTTAATCTTTCAACCTTAGGCCATTGGTAGCAGAGAGCACTGCTGAGGCAGTATAAACAGATCTTGGATGGGATGGGGAGTATCTTGATACTGTCAAGCAACCATGTTTTCTCTTTTTCTTTGGAAAGATGAGTCAGTGTAACGTGGAGCCTTTGACAATGAGAACTAAAGAAAACCTGTGTGGAGATCCTGGAGGAAACTTCTACTTCCCTATCCCACACAAAAATAGTTAGAAATACTATAATCATACCTAACCTATTGGCGGCAGAACATCAGAAAATAGCTTTACTTACATTTAGCGGTACAAGTTTTGCAGCAGCCGTCAGGAGTCAAGTGTACTTCATCCTTCAGTGCAGGAACAAAGAGAGAGCAATCAGAATTAGTGTATGAATGACAAGTCATGAGCTTTCTAGCACTGGCTAGCATTTTTACCATTAACGGGAGGTGGGCTGTGCAGTGGATATTGAGTGAAACCATGGCTGGTGGACCCTGAAGGCTATCTTGCCAGCTTGGTTCCATATAGTTCTTGAATCCACATATCCAAAAATAAGAGGTAGCAAACTATTAAGTGGGAGAACAGGGCTGTTCTGGGGGGATTGTCCATTACAACTGACACTGTGACAAGATTGAGTTCACTCTCAAACCATTCCTGATAAATGGCTGTTTACACAGTGGGAGCTGTTAATGACTAGAGATACTGATTCTATGTTGTCTTGTCTTGTATCCTTTACCCCTTGTTCTGTGTAGTAGCATTCAACAAATAGCAAACAATAAAGGACTGATTGAAACTTACAGGCTCGCAGTCCTCTGGGTCAAAGGCAGGACATGTTCTCAGAACAGTGACTGAAATAAGCTGATCTTCAGCTTCTTCACATTTGTAATAGCTGCATGGATTATCTTCAGGCTTCCAGATATCACCCGGCTGGCATTAGGAATAAAACAAATTTAGCATTATTGCTTTTCTGATGTGATCAATGATGTAATTATGATATGCGCAGTGTGATTACTCTGACAAAGACTGGCATAGGATTTTCTGATGAGCAATTTCATGCTCTCACCTAGAAGGAACTCATCTGTACCTCTTAACTTCCTCTGAAACACTAAACGTGGGGAGCCAAATTTTCAAACTTCACTGCCTAGATGGGAAGCCTAAATCCTAGACCTGCACTCTCAGGTCTGTAGTTAGATGCCTAAAATGGATATTTTTGCCCCCCCTCCCCAGTCCATTTGAGCATCTAAATGTGTGATTTAGTTATCCAAACATGTGTCCAGCTAGAATAAATGTAGAAAATACCCTGTTGTAACTAAGAATGGACATAAGTTGGTAGAGAGCTGTCTCTTGCTTTTGTCAACACTTATCCCCTATCGTGGGCTAAAACAAAGTGTAATGAGAATCAACGGAAATAGTTACCTTGAGCACCTGGACAGTGTTGTTAGTCAGCTTGATTGTGCAAGCCACCTGGACACACTTTCCGCAGCACTCTCCATCTTTCATCGTGTATTCATAACCCTGTTCAAAAAGTGGGAGAGAAAATACATTGAGTCAATAAGGGAGACTTCCATTTTCGCCAGTTTAGAAACTAACGGGGAGGTGAAATAAAAAATGGAGCTCACCAGGGGGCAAGTGGTGTCGCACTGGACTGGCTCACAATGCAGAAGGTTTCTGTTGGAGGCTGGATCTGCTTCAGAACTGCAGGTACACGTCTTACAAGAGTCCATTGGAACAGACATTCCAGGCTGGGAGAAGCCAAAGAGAGAACATTCCGTCTCAGCAAATCTCATTATTTAAAGGAAATCTACTGTATATTACCTCATACCATATGGAGATAATTTAAAGCAATTATGTGAACATAAAAGATGCTGATACACAAGTGAAATTGAGTTACGCAGTGGACAGCATAAAGCAATTGTGAAGCACATAATACAGGAAAATGTGGGGCCAGAGCAGAAAGCAAGTATAGGAACAAGCTAATTGAAATTATGCAAAATACTTAGGATAGTAAAGAGATGGCAAGAATGTACCAGGAAAGATCAAAGGAACTTGCTGAGTTTGGGTACTAGGTAAGACTGCTTTGAGCTGCCTCCGTATTTTGCAAACTCATCCATACACCACTTATCGCAAAAGAAGCTTTCCATTATGAATTGTTTTCAGAGCTGGTGAAGCAGTCATCTCTTGCAAATGGATATTAAAACATCTACCCATTGGTGTATCCAATTGCATGAGCATAAATATGTACACATTCTTTACACATGCACTTCAGGCCTCTTTTGAAAATTTAACCCAACATCACATTCCAAGATGGCAACTGTGATCTTAAGGAGAAAACCTTGACTGAGAAGTTAAGGTCTCAACTTGGAGGTCTAGGCCAAAGTTCTAGATTTATTTTTTGAGGGACTTCAGTTCTTTTGCCCCACAAAAAAGACTTTCAAAATTCTGCTCCATCAGAAAGTTATATCACCCACATCTGGAATGGATAAAGAACTGATTCACCCCTCTCAATAAAACCAGTTAAGTTTTTACTTTTGCTCCTTGTTAAAAATCTATTTCAGATCTGTGTTGGTGACCAAGGAGCAAACATGGTACAAAAATTCTTTAATATGCAGGAGATAAAGCACTCCCTCATGGAAACTCCTAGTGAGATGCTCTGTATCAGGGTTTATATCAGAGAGCTACTGAAATATCAGTATATGTTAGTATGTTTGGTGTAGTACTACTGTTTTTACCTGGTAAATAGTTCCATTAAGCACACAGACATCTGGTATTGGTTCTGAAAAAAAGAATCAATTATTTTAAAAAAATGAAATGAAAAAAAAATATTTAAAACGGCCAGAGTCTAAATGCACAAAAAAGTTCAGTTTCCCCCCGGATATAGTTCAGTGAGGGTAAGTGGGTTTTTTTAAATTAATATTATTTAATTTACACTGAACTTACTTTCTTCACTTCTCATACATTTTTTTCTTAACTCCATATCTCCTTTGAAATTGAAATTAGAGCCTTTTATAACCCAGAGGTCAGAAGAAGCACAGTAACTTACCACATGTATAATTGACACAGCAGTCTCCTTCTGAAAGGATTGTGATGAGCCGATACCCTGGCTCACAAGTTGTCTTGGCCCGGGAACAGGCGCTTGTATTGCATCCTGTGGAATAAGACAGAAGAGAAAGTGAGCAATATGAGTCTTTGTTTTCCTGCTTAGAAGTAATTGGTGCTTCGGCTCCATGAACACGTGGAGAGCCTAACACAAAGGGCAGAGAACATAAGAACGGCCATACTGGGTCAGACCAAAGGTCCATCTAGCCCAGTATCCTGTCTTCTGACGGTGACCAATGCCAGGTGCCCCAGAGGGAATGAACAGAACAAGTAATGATCAAGTGAGCCATCTCCTGTCACCCATTCCCAGCTTCTGGCACAGACAGATTATTGATAACTTCTTTTAAAACCTTGATGTGCATAAAGCTCGAGTTACAATCTAGCATATGGCTGAAGCTTGAAGAAGTTGGAGGGATGTATCCCTGAAGGGGGAGAGAAGATGTAAGAGGATAAATTGCCTAGAACTAAAATGGAAACCTGAGAAAGCCCTCTCTTTCCCTACTGCTATCAAGCTCCTCCTCAAGTTAAAGCAATTCATCTTACTCTATATCACAGCAGCGTGATACATTCAAAAGACACCTCTGTTCCACTATTGAGTCTTCTGCAACCTGTCTGCATGTGGCCTGGATGGAAGACTGATCCTCAAAGGAAATAAATATGCCACACCATCATAATCAAATCATTTGGTAGCATCTCACATCCCATTCACGTTTTTCACAGGACCACTTCAAGCTTAACCCTCAATTGCTCATTTGTTTAGTTCCAGGCTAATAAACTGTGGGCACATTCTCCCTTTTGACTTCGTTATATCAGTAATAAAAAAAAAAATCTCTAAACAGCTAGAACTATATCACATACAGCTACTGGCTTGTGCTTTAGTGTTTGTTCATCTGTTTAGCTCTACTTAAGTTAATATTGTCATTCTGCAACGTAAAATCTGTGTATAAACACCGTATAACCCACAAATAAGGAGCTAATTTATCAGCTACTTTAAGACTCAGAAAAACTTTTTACCTCTCTTCTTGCCCTCTTCTGCAACATACACACACCAAAAAGATTTTTTTTACCAACTAAAAATGTACCTCTAACTGTAACTCAGAAATCAACTTTTGGTACCTAGGTACAGTTTTGAATCAATCAAGGAATAACGCTTAATTTTAAGAGCCCTTAGATATTACAGTGACAGTTGCAACATGAAAACCTTAACTAGATTAGATTAGCTAGTGAGAGATGGCAGGTGTAACCAAGGACAATATTTGGCCCAGTATATTTTTATGAGCTGGCTATAAAAGATAGTAGCCGGTACTTACTGCATTCAGTTTCAGGACAGCATGGGTCTTCTGGTGTCAACACTGGGACAGATACGAATCCTTCTTTCTCACACACGCGTGTCTTGGGTGTTTGACATGTAAGTGACTTACATTGTACAGTAACAGAGAATGGGTCACAGACACACTCCTGGCAGTTACTCTTCCAAATGTCTCCAGGCTGTAAAAATATAAAAATATTTTATCTTAACTGTTCTCTGATGCTCTTGATCATAGGTATTTTTTCAGGGTCCACTTGGATGAAGGCCTCAAAGTGGATAGATAGTAAGATAGACTGTTCATGGGACCTGATCCCAAACCCATTGATTTCAGTGGGTTTGAATCTGGCTCAAAGAGCAGGTTGAAAATCTTCAGACATGTGTTAGGATATAGATATTCAGGCCTGTCTGTAAAGGCCTATACTCTAAGAATTTAGGTGTATTCTTATCACTTGGCTAGTTATAGAGGTATAAAAGAAAAGAATCAAAATCACTGTCTGCCGGTGTAAGGTCCTTCTCTTACTGTGACAGTCTGAGGCCCTGTGCTTAGGTTAAGATCTTTGGCTAAGCAGCAGAGGCAGCCATAAGCTGGGAAGCGAATGGTCAGATCCTCACATTCCAAACTAGTCACATTGAAATAAGGTGCTATTGGGCTGTTAGGAATACACTCCTGTCCTATCGCCTCCAGAGAAAGGGAAGTGCCTTGAAAATGTAAAAGAAAACTTAGTTTGATAGCATCCTGTCTGGCAAGAACTCACTTATCAATAGCTGGGATGTGAAATCCTCACTTCTGTATTGTTTTGTCATTATAGTTCCCACTTTGCTATTGTTTGTCTGTATAATCTCTGTCTGGTTCTGTGATTGTTTCTGTCTGCTGTATAATTAATTTTGCTGGGTGTAAGCTAATTAAGGTGGTGGGATATAATTGGTTAAATAATCATGTTACAATATGTTAGGATTGGTTAGTTAAATTTCAGGAAAATGATTGGTTAAGGTATAGCTAAGCAGAACTCAAGTTTTACTATATAGTCTGCAGTCAATCAGGAAGTGTGTGTGTGGGGGGTGGGGGAAATGGGAACAGGGAATGGGGTGGGGAAATTGCAATCATGTTTTGCTAAAGGGGGAAATGGGAACAGGGAATGGGGTGGGGAAATTGCAATCATGTTTTGCTAAAGGCGGAGATGGGAACAGGGAATGGGGGTAAGGAAATTGCAATCATGTTTTGCTAAAGGGGGAAATGGGAACAGGGAATGGGGGGGGGGGGAATTGGAATCATGTTTGGCTAAGGGCAGGAATGGGAACAGGGCCACAGGTGTAAGGCTCTGTGGTGTCAGAGCTGGGAAGGGAGACACTAAGGAAGGAAACTGGAATCATGCTTGCTGGAAGTTCACCCCAACAAACATCGAATTGTTTGCACCTTTGGACTTCGGGTATTGTTGCTCTCTGTTCATGCGAGAAGGACCAGGGAAGTGAGTGGGTGAAGGAATAAGTCCCCTAACAACAGACTGCTTTCAATTTCCCAAGGTAGGAGACCCATAAATAAATATCATGTCCAATACTTGGCAATGGAACGATACATCACTGGAACTGAGGTACTAGCAATTTATCTGAAGCAATACAGACCCACCATTGTGCAATTTGAAGCTGTTACACACAATTTATATTCATTCTTTTGGGGGCATTTCGGGGGTTTAAAATGTGATTTAAAAAAAAACAAACAATGGGGTGCAGTTGACCACAGAATACAAAAGGCATTGGCTGTAATCAAGTCCTTACCGTCATCTCCTTCCATTTTATTTCTGCTAAGAATTTAACCTGCCACAACCTTGCACATTTCATAACAAAAGGAGAACTAAGAGGTGGGAAAATGCAGTGATATGCTGAAAGCCTGGAAGCAGCTGTATTTGGGAGACCTTTCTGGGAAAGATGCCTTGGAGAAAGTGCTGATTGAAATACTCACCAGTTTGGGCATTCCATCTGGTCCCACGCAAACTGAGGGGAATGAAAGGATAAAGATTTACATGGATGCCATTCTGATGATCCATGTGCTATACAAATGAATCTCACTTACCCTTTTAATTAAGGGTTCGTCAAGGCACTTTTCAGATATTATTATCGCTACACACTTTATCCACAAAGGATTTACTTTTAAACCTTCATCTTGTCTCATGAGTCAGCTCAGACCCATTTTTTCAACAAGTAGACACAGATGCTAATACCACTTACCCGTCACTTTCTAAAAAAGGGAAATGGAAATAACTAGCCGTTCTCAAGGGCAGTCAGTTCTGGCACTCAGCATTCACATGTTAAGTGGCTGGTGTATTTACTCACGATGATGATGGTGCAACACTAAAATCTGTTATTAGGCTGAGTCTGAAAACAGACTAAGGGACTTTCCACTGGCAGTGTAAATATTATGCCGGTTCACCAGATTCTAGGCATGTAATATAAAATGGGGAGGAGGCTAAAGTAATGAGTTTACTATGCTAATCTTAAACTATGAGGGATCAGGCTTTACATGTGATATATTATAAGTGAAACACGGTCAGTAGTTTTAGTCCATTGTGTGAATTTGTCAAAATTACAAAACCACCAGTCAGACCGGTTCAGCTAGCAGAATTTCGATGTTCAAGAAGCAGAATGGCAATTGGTAAAACTGAGTCCATGAGCAGCGCTTCGTGATAGAAGCTTCCATAGCATCTTTTCATGCCACACCTAGAACTAAGTTGTCCTGTCTATCTCTTTCTTTCCTCAACACTAACATTCACATTATTTACACCCCCCTCCAACCCTTTCTCCTTCCCGTTCCCCCAAACTTACCGCATTCTGACACACAGACGTCAGTGTATGAATTGAAGAGAATCGAACCCCTGGGGCAGAAGCATCCTTCAGCAACATATTCACTTATGTGGTTAACAGTTCTACAAGGAAGAAAGGAATGGCTATTAAAGTACATTTTCCCAGCATTATCTGATCAATAACTTTTTACAGCACTAACATAATTGAGGCATAAAGAAGAATTTCTCTAAACAATCAAGTAAGGTTTCCTGTATATAAAAATGTACATTTATACAGTATGGTAATCCTTATCCCCAAATATGACAAAACACTTTGTAAACATTCAGAAATGATCTATGTATGTGAATCATTTTTCTGAAATATAGCAAACTCTGAAGTGGAGCACTACATCTACCTAACAGCTCACAGCAATGCTGTACTTTCAGGAAATAGCAGGAAGTGAAAATACAGCATCCATTTGAAATTGCAGAGGGAATTTAGGTAGCACAATGTAATTAGTCAAAGAGAAAATTGGCGAGGCCCTAAATGCTGGCCTTCCTACTCATGTGAAAAGTGCCATGGAATTTTTAATAATCAAAGAAGTCAGGACTTCAGTTTTAATGCCACAAATAAAAGATGGCATCTCTAGTAACAACACATTGTCCCTTGTCACCACTCAGTGGATTTACTCAATCATCAATGCCACCCTGTCCTCAAGCAGTTGGTATTTACTAAGAGGACTCCCGTCCAAACACAGACACAGTTGTACCCAGTGACATTAAACTAACATAAAGCTAATTATTTCGTTTAGTCTTACCCGGAATTACAGGTGACAGGGTTAAGAGGGCCACACGCATCATACACCTTGCCTTGAGGACAGTTGTATGCTGTGTGGGAGCAAAAATAAAATTAATATGAAAATGAAACATTGTAGGAAGGTAAAGAAGCAGAGATGATGCTTTCCAATTGCTTTTAATTTTATGTATGTGGAGGGGTAACAACCATTGGTGCTCTCACTTCATAAACTCTTTGGATCAGGAAATACAAAAGCACAAATATTTAAAATATTGCAATGGCTACTGAATGATTTTGAACCTCACAAAAGATGTGGCTTTGGTTGAATTTGAGAGAACAGCAAAGGTTCAGGGTTGTTTATATTTTATTGGAACTAGTTCACCCATCTCCACATGAATGAAATTAAAGTTTAGATATACGTATCTATTCCTCCACCCCCAAAATAATGGAAGAAGTTTACATTTTCAGAATAAATTTGTAATAAGCACATCATAGATCCAAGGCAAAGCATTTCTTAATGCTGCTTACGGCATTGTCCTTGGGTCTTGCTTCTCCAGTCGGCACAGGCACCTTTAGCAGAGCAGAGGGAGGCATACGTTTCCAAACGGAAGCATGGTATAGCTTCATTGGTAACGTGGCATGAATCAAAGATGCAACTCTCATAGAATGTGCTGGGAGTCAGAATCTTATGACACTCTGCAAAGAGACTTTAAATACAATGGAAGAGAAATTTGAGCTGCGGTGCACAATCACTGTAAAAATCTAGACTTGTCAGAATGAAATAATTAAAGGGTAATGAACTGCCTAGATGGCCTTTTAGGGTTAAAATACGATATTAGTCCCAGGTGAGTGTTTTATTGATAATATAATAATAGCACTTGGTGGGACACAGTTTATATTTAATGAGAATTCTTCAAGCGCAGACTGGGTTTCTAGATAGCATAACTCTAAAAGAGATTAAAGTGATGCCCGGAGAAGGAGCTTTGGTAACAGCAGCAACAAACTACGCAGCTATTCTGTGTTCTTAAAAAACAAATCAAGACTACTTTGCTATTATTACAATCAATAATGCAGTGTATATTTTTGTGACTAAAGGCCCCTTCGACGACCATTATTAAGGCTTCCAAGACACTTTTTTTGCTTTTCAGTACACAAGATTCAAATGTACCCTAAGCCTGAATTTAACTTACTCGCTCAAAATCAGCTCACAAAGAGGAGAAGTAGAATTGCAGGGCACAGGTGGAGTTGTTGGCGTGACAGGTGGTGTTGGGGGCCCTTCACAACTGGGCTTATTTTCATCCTGAACCTGCCAGGCGGCAGCCATCTCTGAACAAGAGGAAACTACTTCTCCACTTGGCATGCGGCATTCGTCCACCTTGTCATTTGAACACGTGCCTAGAAGAAAACAGATGGAACCGCGTCTGAAAGGTATGGAAGCACTGGCAATAGAGAAACTCAGCATGGCATGGTAAGTACAAGAGGGAATGTCCACTCTGACTGTAACAATCACACTCAGGGGCTGGTTTTACCTGATTTTCAGGTTACCACAATACCGCTAATCTTCCTTGGTCCTAATACTTTATGAAAGACTGAAATTAGAAATATTCTTGTTAATGTAAATTGCATTTTGAGGTGATGCTGAGACTGGAAATAGTGAAAAAGTGATATACGCCATAATCCCATTGAGTTATTTTATTTAATGTGCTGTAGCACCTAGAAACTTAAATGATCAGCTAAAGTGCACCTTACCATAGCATAAATAAGGAAAACAGTCTCCTGAGAATTGCCTGATGGAAAAGAGGGGATTAAATCACTCTGCTTACCACACTGGCCTTCAGTGTTGTTTCTAAACATCCTGAATGGCATTTTCACTGTGAAGGTGAGTCCACTGAAGGAGATGTAAGACTTGATGTCTGGGATTTCAACAACCATGTCTGTTCCACCATTGGCAACTGAAATGCCATCTCTGCTGAAGCCTCCATTGATTGGCTCCTTGTTGACAAGAATCTAAAAACCAACAAAATAAAAGCAGCGAAAGCACAGGTTTAGTTTATGTCTTAGGCAGGGAGACAAGTCTTTGAACACATGATGGCAGTGTTAGGAGTTAAGAAAGAGCAGAGTTCCTCTCTGTAGATCTGAAGATCCCCATTATGTTCCTCGTGAAAAAAAGAGGCATAAGAGAGAGAAATTACAAAATAATCACACACACACATACACCCACACTATGGAATTCTTATGGAATTAAATATAATTACCACATATCTAACGTTGTGTTTATAATCTTCAGCTGGTTTTACAAGGTGTTATTAAAAATGCCTTCTCTTATTATTAAAATGTTTTTATTGAAGCAATTTATAAAATGTGAAAATCCATTAAGGTTTACCTTGTTATTTCTCTTCCCCTGGTTTATCTGACTGCTCAGCACTATTTCCATGGAGTTGTAATTCACAATGATAGATCTGGGGCAGGAGAATCCATCAGCCACATCACAGAAGGCATTGTCAACAAGGATGCTGAAATTGTATTTGGGCACAATCTGTTTCATCAGCACATATGTGCAGTTGTCATGGAATGTGTAGTGAGTGCCATCAAAAGTCAAGTAGTGAGAATTGCTCCAGCCGCTGCAAACACCTATCAGGAAGAAAAGAAAAGAAAAATATGTGTTTATAATCAAAAGCTAAAAATAGCAAATTTCCTTAAGCTACCAGTCAAAGAAAGATTGGTTGCTGGTACTGAAACTGAAGATGATATATCATATTTAAACTACAAGCTTTCTCCCTTGTATGGCATCTGGAAAAATAAAGATTCTAGAAGCAGAATTTAGCTGGCGTTAAGTATCCATATCTGTTTTTCTGTCTATATATCTAGCTTTAGTTTAGCTGATGATCTGGCTTATTAAACTCTTACTTAGAGTCAGATGCTACTACAATGGATGTATAATAAATACCAAGCTAGTTAGAAAAATCTATAATTTAATGATATACTCTTGTTATTCAACTATTTTAGCATGTTTCTATCTTCCGAGAAAAATAGAGTGCCTAAAGCATTGACTCATCCTAACAATATTATACATTTGTAAACTATAATTTGGTGAGTAAAGCCCACAATAGCACACTACATGAATCAAGACATTCTGAAAACCTCTTTTTCTGCAAGATTAAAGTATATTGTGCATCATTAGTGCTTTGCTTGTTTCTTGGTTCCCTTACAGTCACACTCATAGTGGTAGTTGCAGCCATCCTCATCATAGACTTTTATTGGTGGGAGTCCACTTGCACAAGTAATCGTCTCTACAGCTGGAGGAAGCAGTAGAACAATTCTGTTGTCTCCCTCACAAGTTGCCATAGTGCAATTGTTTAACATCCAGGATTCATTCCTCTAGAAGAGACAAGGAAATTCTTGTACAGATGGTTTGGGTTGAGGCAGAATCAGATTTCTATCTTACAATAATATAACAATCAATCTTTGGGATTCAGATTGTTTCAAGTAAGATTGTCTATGGGGACTAGCAAGAATGGAATTCAAAGAAAGTTGGTCACGTATCTGAAGAAGAAGCTGACTATGAGTGACTGCCCTGACGCGTCTGGGTTTAGAGCAGAATGAATACTGAGAAAAAGTTATTCATGGACATTTTCTTGACTTCCATAATAGAATTTTGCTTCACCCAAAAAACAAACACACTTTGGGTGAATAGGGTAGCAGTATAAAAGTTAGGTCATCCAGTTAGGGAATGACAACTATGTTATATGACTTCAGTGATCAATCATACAGTTTGTATATCAAATACACAAGGAATGCTTACAAAGAACACTTTGTACACAATCTTTAGGATGGAATTTATTTGCATAAAATATTGAGAAATTCTGAATATTGAACAAATTTGTAAAAATTGCAAGTCAGTCTGTGGACAATTTGCAAACAGGAAAAGTTGACAGCACAAGTTCACAAAAAATTACATTATACCAGATTATTTTCAAATAGACAAATCCTGCCCAGACATATACATGAGCAACTCCTAGTAAAATTAATGAAAGTTGGATGTGGGTCAATCTGAAGGCAGAATTTGTGTCAATTTTGGGAATGGTGGTGATGTAGAAAAAGAAAATAGATAATTGGATTACCTTTCGTGGTGGGTCAGCATCAGGGCAACCTGCTACTGGAGTAGGTTTAGCTGTTTCTGGAGTTGCGGGCACTGAAGAAGATATAGTCGTTGTGGTTGATAAACTTGGTATTGTAGATGATGAGATGAATGAAACAGGAGTTGTTGTAGGACATAGCCCCTGGAATCGTTCAATTTCGCATCTTTTACTGCAAAGTGCATAAAAACTACAACCAGTACTATCTGTTCTGTTGTATATAACTTCACCTATGAAACAAAATTAATAACACAAATGAAATAAAACGAATGAGCAAAATGTTCAACAAAAAAATCAAACAAAAATATTAAAATGTTTTAATTTATATGTCTTCATCATATTTTTATATTTGGAAAAAATTCTCACTTTTAAGACACACTGTATAGTAAAATATAATTTAGAAAAGGTGAATGCTAACATTGTATCTCAGTTTTAAAAGCACGAAACAATAAACTCACCAGGAGAAAAGAAATCACCAGACACATTGCATAAACATGGTGTGACTCTGCTTGAAGTGAAAGATGTAATTTTTTCACTTGATGTGTAGGCTATACTGGGGCCTTCTGTTGTTGCAGACACTGAAGAAGTAAGCCGTGAAATAGCTGATGTTGCAGGGGTTATAATGCTGAAAGTTGGAGAGACGGCAAGAGTCGTGGAAACTGGAGATAAAACTGTGGTGGTCCTTCCCTGTGATGTTGGCTGTGCTGGGAGTGTGGAAAGAAGCATAGTACTCCCTGCGATGGTGGATCCCATACCCGTGGAGGCTGAACCTGTTGTCATTTCTCCACGTGTGCCTGTCACAGGTGGGATTGTGCCTGTTGGCAGTGGTGTTGTAACGGTTGAGCCCATTGCTGTGCCTGGAGTTGGAGGAGAAGCAGTGGAGCTGACTGATAGGGTAGTGGAAACTGGGGGTAAAAGCGTGGTGGTGCTTCCCTGTGATACTGGCCGTGTAGATAGGAGTGTGCTGCCTTCAGGGGTGGTTCGTCCGGAAGGAGGAAGGGTGGAACCCGATGAAGTTTGTGGACGCGTGCCTGTTGCAGGTGGGATTGTGCCTGTTGGCGGTGGTGGTGTACCGGTTGATCCTGTTGCTGTGCCTGGAGTTGGAGGAGAAGCAGTGGAGGTGACTGATACGGTAGTGGAAATTGGGGGTAGAAGCGTGGTGGTGCTTCCCTGTGATGTTGGCTGTGTAGAGAGGAGTGTGGTGCCTTCAGGGGTGGTTCGTCCGGAAGGAGGAAGGGTGGAACCCGATGAAGTTTGTGGACGCGTGCCTGTCACAGGTGGGATTGTGCCTGTTGGCGGTGGTGGTGTACCGGTTGAGCCTGTTGCTGTGCCTGGAGTTGGAGGAGAAGCAGTGGAGGTGACTGATACGGTAGTGGAAAGTGGGGGTAGAAGCGTGGTGGTGCTTCCCTGTGATGTTGGCTGTGTAGAGAGGAGTGTGGTGCCTTCAGTGGTGGTTTGTCCGGAAGGAGGAAGGGTGGAACCCGATGAAGGTTGTGGACGCGTGCCTGTCGCAGGTGGGATTGTGCCTGTTGGCGGTGGTGGTGTACCGGTTGAGCCTGTTGCTGTGCCTGGAGTTGGAGGAGAAGCAGTGGAGGTGACTGATACTGTAGTAGAAAGTGGGGGTAGAAGCGTGGTGGTGCTTCCCTGTGAAGTTGGCTGTGTAGAGAGGAGTGTGGTGCCTTCAGTGGTGGTTCGTCCGGAAGGAGGAAGGGTGGAACCCGATGAAGGTTGTGGACGCGTGCCTGTCAGAGGTGGGATTGTGCCTGTTGGCGGTGCTGGTGTACTGGTTGAGCCTGTTGCTGTGCCTGGAGTTGGAGAAGCAGTGGAGGTGACTGATACGGTAGTGGAAAGTGGGGGTAGAAGCGTGGTGGTGCTTCCCTGTGATGTTGGCTGTGTAGAGAGGAGTGTGGTGCCTTCAGTGGTGGTTCGTCCGGAAGGAGGAAGGGTGGAACCCGATGAAGGTTGTGGACGCGTGCCTGTCGCAGGTGGGATTGTGCCTGTTGGCGGTGGTGGTGTACCGGTTGAGCCTGTTGCTGTGCCTGGAGTTGGAGGAGAAGCAGTGGAGGTGACTGAGACGGTAGTGGAAAGTGGGGGGAGAAGCGTGGTGGTGCTTCCCTGTGATGTTGGCTGTGTAGAGAGGAGTGTGGTGCCTTCAGTGGTGGTTCGTCCGGAAGGAGGAAGGGTGGAACCCGATGAAGTTTGTGGACGCGTGCCTGTCGCAGGTGGGATTGTGCCTGTTGGCAGTGGTGGTGTACCGGTTGAGCCTGTTGCTGTGCCTGGAGTTGGAGGAGAAGCAGTGGAGGTGACTGAGACGGTAGTGGAAAGTGGGGGTAGAAGCGTGGTGGTGCTTCCCTGTGAAGTTGGCTGTGTAGAGAGGAGTGTGGTGCCTTCAGTGGTGGTTCGTCCGGAAGGAGGAAGGGTGGAACCCAATGAAGTTTGGGGACGCGTGCCTGTCGCAGGTGGGATTGTGCTGGTTGGCGGTGGTGGTGTACCAGTTGAGCCTGTTGCTGTGCCTGGAGTTGGAGGAGAAGCAGTGGAGGTGACTGAGACGGTAGTGGAAAGTGGGGGTAGAAGCGTGGTGGTGCTTCCCTGTGAAGTTGGCTGTGTAGAGAGGAGTGTGGTGCCTTCAGTGGTGGTTCGTCCGGAAGGAGGATGGGTGGAACCCGATGAAGTTTGTGGACGCGTGACTGTCACAGGTGGGATTGTGCCTGTTGGCGGTGGTGGTGTACCGGTTGAGCCTGTTGCTGTGCCTGGAGTTGGAGGAGAAGCAGTGGAGGTGACTGATACGGTAGTGGAAAGTGGGGGTAGAAGCGTGGTGGTGCTTCCCTGTGATGTTGGCTGTGTAGAGAGGAGTGTGGTGCCTTCAGTGGTGGTTCGTCCGGAAGGAGGAAGGGTGGAACCCGATGAAGTTTGTGGACGCGTGCCTGTCACAGGTGGGATTGTGCCTGTTGGCGGTGGTGGTGTACCGGTTGAGCCTGTTGCTGTGCCTGGAGTTGGAGGAGAAGCAGTGGAGGTGACTGATACGGTAGTGGAAAGTGGGGGTAGAAGCGTGGTGGTGCTTCCCTGTGAAGTTGGCTGTGTAGAGAGGAGTGTGGTGCCTTCAGTGGTGGTTCGTCCGGAAGGAGGAAGGGGTGGAACCCGATGAAGTTTGTGGACGCGTGCCTGTCACAGTTGGGATTGTGCTGGTTGGCGGTGGTGGTGTACCAGGTGAGCCTGTTGCTGTGCCTGGAGTTGGAGGAGAAGCAGTGGAGGTGACTGATACGGTAGTGGAAAGTGGGGGTAGAAGCGTGGTGGTGCTTCCCTGTGATGTTGGATGTGTAGAGAGGAGTGTGGTGCCTTCAGTGGTGGTTCGTCCGGAAGGAGGAAGGGTGGAACCCGATGAAGTTTGTGGACGCGTGCCTGTCGCAGGTGGGATTGTGCCTGTTGGCGGTGGTGGTGTACCGGTTGAGCCTGTTGCTGTGCCTGGAGTTGGAGGAGAAGCAGTGGAGGTGACTGATACTGTAGTAGAAAGTGGGGGTAGAAGCGTGGTGGTGCTTCCCTGTGAAGTTGGCTGTGTAGAGAGGAGTGTGGTGCCTTCAGTGGTGGTTCGTCCAGAAGGAGGAAGGGTGGAACCCGATGAAGTTTGTGGACGCGTGCCTGTCGCAGGTAGGATTGTGCCTGTTGGCGGTGGTGGTGTACCGATTGAGCCTGTTGCTGTGCCTGGAGTTGGAGGAGAAGCAGTGGAGGTGACTGATACGGTAGTGGAAAGTGGGGGTAGAAGCGTGGTGGTGCTTCCCTGTGATGTTGGCTGTGTAGAGAGGAGTGTGGTGCCTTCAGTGGTGGTTCGTCCGGAAGGAGGAAGGGTGGAACCCGATGAAGGTTTGTGGACGCGTGCCTGTCGCAGGTGGGATTGTGCCTGTTGGCAGGTGGTGGTGTACCGGGTGAGCCTGTTGCTGTGCCTGGAGTTGGAGGAGAAGCAGTGGAGGTGACTGAGACGGTAGTGGAAAGTGGGGGTAGAAGCGTGGTGGTGCTTCCCTGTGAAGTTGGCTGTGTAGAGAGGAGTGTGGTGCCTTCAGTGGTGGTTCGTCCGGAAGGAGGAAGGGTGGAACCCGATGAAGTTTGTGGACGCGTGCCTGTCGCAGGTGGGATTGTGCCGGTTGGCGGTGGTGGTGTACCAGGTGAGCCTGTTGCTGTGCCTGGAGTTGGAGGAGAAGCAGTGGAGGTGACTGATACGGTAGTGGAAAGTGGGGGTAGAAGCGTGGTGGTGCTTCCCTGTGATGTTGGCTGTGTAGAGAGGAGTGTGGTGCCTTCAGTGGTGGTTCGTCCGGAAGGAGGAAGGGTGGAACCCGATGAAGTTTGTGGACGCGTGCCTGTCGCAGGTAGGATTGTGCCTGTTGGCGGTGGTGGTGTACCAGTTGAGCCTGTTGCTGTGCCTGGAGTTGGAGGAGAAGCAGTGGAGGTGACTGATACGGCAGTGGAAAGTGTGGGTAGAAGCGTGGTGGTGCTTCCCTGTGAAGTCGGCTGTGTAGAGAGGAGTGTGGTGCCTTCAGTGGTGGTTCGTCCGGAAGGAGGAAGGGTGGAACCCGATGAAGTTTGTGGACGCGTGACTGTCGCAGGTGGGATTGTGCCTGTTGGCGGTGCTGGTGTACCGGTTGAGCCTGTTGCTGTGCCTGGAGTTGGAGGAGAAGCAGTGGAGGTGACTGAGACGGTAGTGGAAAGTGGGGGTAGAAGCGTGGTGGTGCTTCCCTGTGAAGTTGGCTGTGTAGAGAGGAGTGTGGTGCCTTCAGTGGTGGTTCGTCCGGAAGGAGGAAGGGTGGAACCCGATGAAGTTTGTGGACGCGTGCCTGTCACAGGTGGGATTGTGCTGGTTGGCGGTGGTGGTGTACCGGTTGAGCCTGTTGCTGTGCCTGGAGTTGGAGGAGAAGCAGTGGAGGTGACTGATACGGTAGTGGAAAGTGGGGGTAGAAGCGTGGTGGTGCTTCCCTGTGATGTTGGCTGTGTAGGGAGGAGTGTGGTGCCTTCAGTGGTGGTTTGTCCGGAAGGAGGAAGGGTGGAACCCGATGAAGTTTGTGGACGCGTGCCTGTCACAGGTGGGATTGTGCTGGTTGGCGGTGGTGGTGTACCAGGTGAGCCTGTTGCTGTGCCTGGAGTTGGAGGAGAAGCAGTGGAGGTGACTGATACGGTAGTGGAAAGTGGGGGTAGAAGCGTGGTGGTGCTTCCCTGTGATGTTGGCTGTGTAGAGAGGAGTGTGGTGCCTTCAGTGGTGGTTCGTCCGGAAGGAGGAAGGGTGGAACCCGATGAAGTTTGTGGACGCGTGCCTGTCACAGGTGGGATTGTGCCTGTTGGCGGTGGTGGTGTACCGGTTGAGCCTGTTGCTGTGCCTGGAGTTGGAGGAGAAGCAGTGGAGGTGACTGATACGGTAGTGGAAAGTGGGGGTAGAAGCGTGGTGGTGCTTCCCTGTGATGTTGGCTGTGTAGAGAGGAGTGTGGTGCCTTCAGTGGTGGTTCGTCCGGAAGGAGGAAGGGTGGAACCCGATGAAGGTTGTGGACGCGTGCCTGTCGCAGGTGGGATTGTGCCTGTTGGCAGTGGTGGTGTACCGGGTGAGCCTGTTGCTGTGCCTGGAGTTGGAGGAGAAGCAGTGGAGGTGACTGATACGGTAGTGGAAAGTGGGGGTAGAAGCGTGGTGGTGCTTCCCTGTGAAGTTGGCTGTGTAGAGGAGGAGTGTGGTGCCTTCAGTGGTGGTTTGTCCGGAAGGAGGAAGGGTGGAACCCGATGAAGTTTGTGGACGCGTGCCTGTCGCAGGTTGGATTGTGCCTGGTTGGCGGTGGTGGTGTACCGGTTGAGCCTGTTGCTGTGCCTGGAGTTGGAGGAGAAGCAGTGGAGGTGACTGATACGGTAGTGGAAAGTGGGGGTAGAAGCGTGGTGGTGCTTCCCTGTGATGTTGGCTGTGTAGAGAGGAGTGTGGTGCCTTCAGTGGTGGTTCGTCCGGAAGGAGGAAGGGTGGAACCCGATGAAGTTTGTGGACGCGTGCCTGTCGCAGGTGGGATTGTGCCGGTTGGCGGTGGTGGTGTACCGGGTGAGCCTGTTGCTGTGCCTGGAGTTGGAGGAGAAGCAGTGGAGGTGACTGATACGGTAGTGGAAAGTGTGGGTAGAAGCGTGGTGGTGCTTCCCTGTGATGTTGGCTGTGTAGAGAGGAGTGTGGTGCCTTCAGTGGTGGTTCGTCCGGAAGGAGGAAGGGTGGAACCCGATGAAGTTTGTGGACGTGTGCCTGTCACAGGTGGGATTGTGCCTGGTTGGCGGTGGTGGTGTACCAGTTGAGCCTGTTGCTGTGCCTGGAGTTGGAGGAGAAGCAGTGGAGGTGAGTGATACGGCAGTGGAAAGTGGGGGTAGAAGCGTGGTGGTGCTTCCCTGTGAAGTCGGCTGTGTAGAGAGGGAGTGTGGTGCCTTCAGTGGTGGTTCGTCCGGAAGGAGGAAGGGGTGGAACCCGATGAAGTTTGTGGACGCGTGCCTGTCGCAGGTGGGATTGTGCCTGTTGGCGGTGCTGGTGTACCGGTTGAGCCTGTTGCTGTGCCTGGAGTTGGAGGAGAAGCAGTGGAGGTGAGTGAGACGGTAGTGGAAAGTGGGGGTAGAAGCGTGGTGGTGCTTCCCTGTGAAGTTGGCTGTGTAGGGAGGAGTGTGGTGCCTTCAGTGGTGGTTTGTCCGGAAGGAGGAAGGGTGGAACCCGATGAAGTTTGTGGACGCGTGCCTGTCGCAGGTAGGATTGTGCCGGTTGGCGGTGGTGGTGTACCGGTTGAGCCTGTTGCTGTGCCTGGAGTTGGAGGAGAAGCAGTGGAGGTGACTGATACGGTAGTGGAAAGTGGGGGTAGAAGCGTGGTGGTGCTTCCCTGTGATGTTGGCTGTGTAGGGAGGAGTGTGGTGCCTTCAGTGGTGGTTTGTCCGGAAGGAGGAAGGGTGGAACCCGATGAAGTTTGTGGACGCGTGCCTGTCGCAGGTAGGATTTTGCCTGTTGGCGGTGGTGGTGTACCGGTTGAGCCTGTTGCTGTGCCTGGAGTTGGAGGAGAAGCTGTGGAGGTGACTGATACGGTAGTGGAAAGTGGGGGTAGAAGCGTGGTGGTGCTTCCCTGTGATGTTGGCTGTGTAGAGAGGAGTGTGGTGCCTTCAGTGGTGGTTCGTCCGGAAGGAGGAAGGGTGGAACCCGATGAAGTTTGTGGACGCGTGACTGTCGCAGGTGGGATTGTGCCTGTTGGCGGTGGTGGTGTACCGGTTGAGCCTGTTGCTGTGCCTGGAGTTGGAGGAGAAGCAGTGGAGGTGACTGATACGGTAGTGGAAATTGGGGGTAGAAGCGTGGTGGTGCTTCCCTGTGATGTTGGCTGTGTAGAGAGGAGTGTGGTGCCTTCAGTGGTGGTTCGTCCGGAAGGAGGATGGGTGGAACCCGATGAAGTTTGTGGACGCGTGCCTGTCACAGGTGGGATTGTGCTGGTTGGCGGTGGTGGTGTACCGGTTGATCCTGTTGCTGTGCCTGGAGTTGGAGGAGAAGCAGTGGAGGTGACTGATATGGTAGTGGAAAGTGGGGGCAGAAGCGTCGTGGTGCTTTCCTGTGATGTTGGCTGTGTAGAGAGGAGTGTGGTGCCTTCAGTGGTGGTTCGTCCGGAAGGAGGAAGGGTGGAACCCGATGAAGGTTGTGGACGCGTGCCTGTTGGAGGTGGGATTGTGCCTGTTGTCGGTGGTGGTGTACCGGGTGAGCCTTTTGCTGTGCCTGGAGTTGGAGGAGAAGCTGTGGAGGTGAGTGAGACGGTAGTGGAAAGTGGGGGTAGAAGCGTGGTGGTGCTTCCCTTTGATGTTGGCTGTGTAGAGAGGAGTGTGGTGCCTTCAGTGGTGGTTCGTCCAGAAGGAGGAAGGGTAGAACCCGATGAAGTTTGTGGACGCGTGCCTGTCGCAGGTAGGATTGTGCCTGTTGGCGGTGGTGGTGTACCGGGTGAGCCTGTTGCTGTGCCTGGAGTTGGAGGAGAAGCAGTGGAGGTGACTGATACGGTAGTGGAAAGTGGGGGTAGAAGCGTGGTGGTGCTTCCCTGTGAAGTCGGCTGTGTAGAGAGGAGTGTGGTGCCTTCAGTGGTGGTTCGTCCGGAAGGAGGAAGGGTGGAACCCGATGAAGTTTGTGGACGCGTGCCTGTCACAGGTGGGATTGTGCTGGTTGGCGGTGGTGGTGTACCAGTTGAGCCTGTTGCTGTGCCTGGAGTTGGAGGAGAAGCAGTGGAGGTGACTGATACGGTAGTGGAAAGTGGGGGTAGAAGCGTGGTGGTGCTTCCCTGTGATGTTGGCTGTGTAGAGAGGAGTGTGGTGCCTTCAGTGGTGGTCCGTCTTGAAGGAGGAAGGGTGGAACCCGATGAAGTTTGTGGACGCGTGACTGTCGCAGGTGGGATTGTGCCTGTTGGCGGTGGTGGTGTACCGGTTGAGCCTGTTGCTGTGCCTGGAGTTGGAGGAGAAGCAGTGGAGGTGAGTGAGACGGTAGTGGAAAGTGGGGGTAGAAGCGTGGTGGTGCTTCCCTGTGAAGTTGGCTGTGTAGAGAGGAGTGTGGTGCCTTCAGTGGTGGTTCGTCCGGAAGGAGGATGGGTGGAACCCGATGAAGTTTGTGGACGCGTGCCTGTCGCAGGTGGGATTGTGCTGGTTGGCGGTGGTGGTGTACCGGTTGAGCCTGTTGCTGTGCCTGGAGTTGGAGGAGAAGCAGTGGAGGTGACTGATACGGTAGTGGAAAGTGTGGCTAGAAGCGTGGTGGTGCTTCCCTGTGATGTTGGCTGTGTAGAGAGGAGTGTGGTGCCTTCAGTGGTGGTTCGTCCGGAAGGAGGAAGGGTGGAACCCGATGAAGTTTGTGGACGCGTGACTGTCGCAGGTGGGATTGTGCCTGTTGGCAGTGGTGGTGTACCGGTTGAGCCTGTTGCTGTGCTTGGAGTTTGAGGAGAAGCTGTGGAGGTGACTGATACGGTCGTGGAAAGTGGGGGTAGAAGCGTGGTGGTGCTTCCCTGTGATGTTGGCTGTGTAGAGAGGAGTGTGGTGCCTTCAGTGGTGGTTCGTCCGGAAGGAGGATGGGTGGAACCCGATGAAGTTTGTGAACGCGTGCCTGTCACAGGTGGGATTGTGCCTGTTGGCGGTGCTGGTGTACCGGTGGAGCCTGTTGCTGTGCCTGGAGTTGGAGGAGAAGCAGTGGAGGTGACTGATACGGTAGTGGAAAGTGGGGGTAGAAGCGTGGTGGTGCTTCCCTGTGATGTTGGCTGTGTAGAGAGGAGTGTGGTGCCTTCAGTGGTGGTTCGTCCGGAAGGAGGATGGGTGGAACCCGATGAAGTTTGTGGACGCGTGACTGTCGCAGGTGGGATTGTGCCTGTTGGCGGTGGTGGTGTACCGGTTGAGCCTGTTGCTGTGCCTGGAGTTGGAGGAGAAGCTGTGGAGGTGACTGATACGGTAGTGGAAAGTGGGGGCAGAAGCGTGGTGGTGCTTCCCTGTGATGTTGGCTGTGTAGAGAGGAGTGTGGTGCCTTCAGTGGTGGTTCGTCCGGAAGGAGGAAGGGTGGAACCCGATGAAGTTTGTGGACGCGTGACTGTCGCAGGTGGGATTGTGCCTGTTGGCGGTGGTGGTGTACCGGTTGAGCCTGTTGCTGTGCCTGGAGTTGGAGGAGAAGCTGTGGAGGTGACTGATACGGTAGTGGAAAGTGTGGGTAGAAGCGTGGTGGTGCTTCCCTGTGATGTTGGCTGTGTAGAGAGGAGTGTGGTGCCTTCAGTGGTGGTTCGTCCGGAAGGAGGAAGGGTGGAACCCGATGAAGTTTGTGGACGCGTGCCTGTCACAGGTGGGATTGTGCCTGTTGGCGGTGGTGGTGTACCGGTTGAGCCTGTTGCTGTGCCTGGAGTTGGAGGAGAAGCAGTGGAGGTGAGTGAGACGGTAGTGGAAAGTGGGGGTAGAAGCGTGGTGGTGCTTCCCTGTGAAGTTGGCTGTGTAGAGAGGAGTGTGGTGCCTTCAGTGGTGGTTCGTCCAGAAGGAGGAAGGGTGGAACCCGATGAAGTTTGTGGACGCGTGCCTGTCGCAGGTAGGATTGTGCCGGTTGGCGGTGGTGGTGTACCGGGTGAGCCTGTTGCTGTGCCTGGAGTTGGAGGAGAAGCAGTGGAGGTGACTGATACGGTAGTGGAAAGTGGGGGTAGAAGCGTGGTGGTGCTTCCCTGTGATGTTGGCTGTGTAGAGAGGAGTGTCGTGCCTTCAGTGGTGGTTCGTCCAGAAGGAGGAAGGGTGAAACCCGATGAAGGTTGTGGACGCGTGCCTGTTGGCGGTGGGATTGTGCCTGTTGGCGGTGGTGGTGTACCGGGTGAGCCTGTTGCTGTGCCTGGAGTTGGAGGAGAAGCGGTGGAGGTGACTGAGACGGTAGTGGAAAGTGGGGGTAGAAGTGTGGTGGTGCTTTCCTGTGATGTTGGCTGTGTAGAGAGGAGTGTGGTGCCTTCAGTGGTGGTTCGTCCGGAAGGAGGAAGGGTGGAACCCGATGAAGGTTGTGGACGCGTGCCTGTCACAGGTGGGATTGTGCCTGTTGGCGGTGGTGGTGTACCGGTTGAGCCTGTTGCTGTGCCTGGAGTTGGAGGAGAAGCAGTGGAGGTGACTGATACGGTAGTGGAAACTGGGGGTAGAAGCGTGGTGGTAAGTGGGAATGGAGTCGGCACTTCTGAACTTATTGAAGTAGTTGGATTTGAAATCGTTTTTGACTCAAGTGAGGTAGCTGTTACTGTTGGGTGTGCGCTACTTGTTCCTGATGGCGTAGATGGTGTAGACTCACATGGTACATAAGTACAACATAATATTTTGATCTCATAGTTGTAGCAGATTGTTGAAATCTGATCCTCGTTATTACATATGAGTCCAATGTCTTTGCTACATGTCACATTTTGGTTCAGGTCTTTTAGTGGTGTGCCAGGGTATTGTTGCGCTCTGCATTCCACAGCGCTTGGAGTTTTGCAAACACTATGTCCTTTAGCTCTTATATTTTCAAATGTTTCCAAATCTCCATTGTTGGAGCCTTGTGCTGGATTGCTGCTATCATACCATTCTGACCAATCGCACACTTTGTGAACACACACTGTTGTAACTGATGGTGTAGTTGTTGTTCCTGTGATAGAAAGAAAAAAAATAGTTTCTTGTCCTGAGATTCAATGTTCTTGTTAATAATTACTGTCTAATGTCTTATTATTCCTACTGTGTCTGGAAAGATTAGGATATTAATCTTTCAAAGAATTTCATTTAAGGCCACAAGGGGGACCTTTATTATCTTGGACTCTGTCTTCCAACAAAGTGTTTTGGAAGAGCAATTTTGATCACCTGTGTAGTATCAAAACTTCACCTGACTTATAGTCTGTTTCTTTCTGCTTTTGCAGTTAAAAATATTCAGAGTTATCTCTTGTGTATCACGTCTCAATATATAAAGGAGTCTATGAATTTTTAAGAGGCTCTTTTCTAGTAGATTCATAGATTCATAGATACTAAGGTCAGAAGGAACCATTATGATCATCTAGTATTACCTCCTGCACAACACAGGCCACAGAATCTCACCCACCCACTCCTGCGAAAAACCTCTCACCTATGTCTGAGCTATTGAAGTCCTCAAATCGTGGTTTAAAGACTTCAAGGAACAGAGAATCCTCCAGCAAGTGACCCGTGCCCCATGCTACAGAGGAAGGCGAAAAACCTCCAGGGCCTCTTCCAATCTGCCCTGGAGGAAAATTCCTTCCCGACCCCAAATATGGCGATCAGCTAAACCCTGAGCATATGGGTAAGATTCACCAGCCAGATACTACAGAAAATTCTTTCCTGGGTAACTCAGATCCCACCCCATCTAACATCCCGTCACAGGCCATTAGGCCTATTTTCCACGAATATTTAAAGATTAATTAATTCCCAGAATCGTGTTATCCCATCATCCCATCTCCTCCATAAACTTATCGAGTTTAATCTTAAAGCCAGATAGATCTTTTGCCCCCACTGCTTCCTTTGGAAGGCTATTCCAAAACTTCACTCCTCTGATGGTTAGAAACCTTTGTCTAATTTGAAGTCTAAACTTCCTGGTGGCCAGTTTATATCCATTTGTTCTTGTGTCCACATTGGTACTGAGCTTAAATAAAGAAAAGAGGGCCTGATTTTCCACTGTATTATCTCTTTTGTAATAATTTACAATTGATTTCTAGACAATCAGAATGGTACACACACTTCACAGTGACTATGCAAGTCACTAGCTTTGAGATTGCACTAATGTGCTTAGTTTATTTTAAAATTATTTGTTGTCCACCATATATATAGGGAGAAGTAGTAAAGATGCCCTCCCCTGCTCCGCTCCCCCAGTCTAGAACTCTCTGGGAACTGCCCTTAAAGCTGCTCTACTTCATGCTCATGGCAGCCAGGGATATCCAGGGCATAAAGATGAACTATCCACACTATCATTCCTCTGGGAGCACCTGGTGGTGGTGTTACCCAGGGTAACAGTGGGGACTAAGGGAGAGAATTTGTAGAAGCTGCTGCTGTATCTCTCCGCACCAGCTGGGCAGAGAATCCTCAAGGGGGGGACGGGGGAGCTGCCAGCTGAGTTTCTGACTATTATTGTAGAAGTTACCAACTTATAGTACAAACATGTGCAATTAAAGGAGTTAGGCCCTTACCCCCCAGGTATGCAAAGATTTTTTCAGATATTTTGGGAAATGTATAGAAATACCTGCAGCACTCGTAGGTAGAACTGTACTAAATGTGAATGGGGTGGTAGTTGTAATTCCACTGCATTCAAAGAATTTTCTGGTTATTGTTCCATTCATGCCACAAGTTGCACTCAAACACCCTCCAATCCCATCTGTGGTGTTATAAATGACATCCTTATATTTATATTTTTGTTCTTCATAATAGCAATAACATGCTGTAAAACAGAAGAGGTGGAATGACATTGTTAGTCACCTGTCAAATGAAACAAAAGTTCAAGAATGTGTTTTCATTCACAAATCTTCTTTGCCAACGTACCTTCAGCATCAAACTTGCACTCTGAGCCTTCCATTGTACATGTACTGAAAGAAATAACAAGGAAGAAATGTGAGCCTGAAGATGCATGAAGGGTGATGAACTCGCTTTACAGTTATGGTATTTTCACTGAATTTATACCAGAAACTAATCATAAGCCAAAGCGGAATTATTCTGAATTAGGGTTTGACTGAAGTGCAGAGAAGTAATTGTCTAGATGCCAGCTAATCTTCTCATAGTCAGCTCTGATTAAAATACCTCTTCCAAGCTGAATAGTTAAGAGGAGATGCAGCTCCCTCTCCACAGTACCTGCATCATGTCCTGCTTATAGGCTGCTTTTTTCTTCCTCCCTAAAGCCAGTTCTGACATTGAAGCAGCATGGATCAGAGGGAGGGTTAAGAAGAGGGTCCATTCCTTTCCCATACCCTTACTGTTAGACCAATCTCTTCTTATGCCATCCCCCTTATAGCCAGTTCATGTCAGTTCCTCTGGCTGCCATTCTTTTCCCAACCATCTCCCTGATATCAGACCTCAGCTCCTACGTGAGAGTGAAGTCAAAGGCTATGGGAAACTACAGAAACAAGTCTTTAGGGAGGCTTCTTGTCACATTCGTCATTCTTCCAATGAGTTTTGGCCCGGAGGCTAGAAAAGGAAAAAGTCTGAATATTGGATTGTATTAGTTATGAACTTTAAATTATATGTGGATGTAGAATAAACCCCAGAAACAAATCTATATTATATATTACATAACCAGGTTTGTTCTATTCTGCACTCTTCTATCATGGTGATGAGTGACATTATAGGAATATCACCGTGATAGAGGACTGCAGAATAGAACAAACCTGGTTATAAAGCACATCAGATTTTTTTCTGGGCACTAAGCTGAAGAATTTACTGTGATACTGAGAACAAATTCAACAGAATCAAAAATTGCTCACTAGTAATATGAAAATTGGTATGTGAAAATAAGAGGTCGCTTTTGCACAGGCAACATGAACCCACCTCGCCGTTGGACTGCGGTGCATAACTTTCAAACACTGATTTGGTCTTTTCTCCTTAACATGGTCAGACTGTACATTAAATCTTACCATAACTGACAGTTGTCCCGTGAGTAGAAGCTCACTCCTGGTTTGTGGTAGTTTCCTTCAGCGTCATAACAGCCACAGTTATCAACACACGTCATCTCATCCTCATTGAAATATGGCTTGTTTGCTGGACAGTTTGGATAGCAGCCTGAGGCACAAACAAAAAAAAAGAGTATAAGCTGGAAGAGTTTAAGCTGGAACTTTATGCAGAAGGTAATTCCTTTTTATTTTTCTACTTTGGGCTATATTTCTCAGGCACAAGGGCTTTCCAAACTTGTACTCCTTCCCCTGGCTCACTTTCTTTGGCTTGCCTTCCTTATAATATGATGAGTCCTTCCAAATAAAAGGGAACTACTGCTTCTGGATTCTTGTTAATGGCTCCTTTGTTGGTTGGCACAGTGTTATTATTTAGCAAACAAGGCTCCCCTAACACCTAAGATGTGGATGTGATGCTAGCCTATGAACCAAGATACTAATACAGTTCTGTCATGTAGCACAGACTATTCCCATTAGGAGACCCCACAGGGACTGAGACCTACAAATGTTTTCAAACTCCAGAGACCAAACTCTGCCCTCACTTATACCAGTGCAACCCACTGAAGAAAATAAGATTGTATGGGGTGTATCTGAAGGGAGAATTTGATGCAACAATGATTGAGCTGGAAAAAAACGGTAACCAGCTGTGCACTCTACAGCAAGCAGCGTGCTGTGTCATAGCTCTTTTCACCTTCTAAACCTGGTAACTTATGAAGGCATCTTCCACTTGGATTCCTACAGGTCTTCATGCAGGGGGCTCCACAAGGCTTGTAGTGCCACTCGCATCCCCCTTCTGGGTTGTAATAATCACAGAACATAGCTGAGGGGAAACAGGAAAAGAAGACAGGTTCAGAACAAAATGCCTCTGTTTTTTCATAGCTCTCCATTATACCACTGCCATACCATTTGGGTAGTCTTGAAAGTCATGAATCAAGAGCTGAAACTGCATAACTGTCAACCCAGTTTGATATGAAACACAGGGTTGAGAACTAATTGTTGTCATATATTTAATAATATATTTAATAACATTCTCAAAACAATTGCCTTGAAACTGATACATTATTCTTTCAATCTCCATTGAGCCTGGGCTAATACTCACGACAGATTGATGGAGTTCTCCAGGCTACACAGACACCAAATTCACTACATGCTTGAGCATATGCAGCTACTGCTGTACAGAAACATTCACAGTCTCCCCCACTGTCACAAGCACAAGCATCAGTCACACATGCTTCATAATATTTAGTTGGTTCAACCTGTTAGACAAAGAAAGCAGTAAATGTAAGTTTTACTTTCTCTGGGGTCATCTTGCCAGAGTAACGCTTCTAGAATATTAACATGCCACAAAAAGGCAAAATCTGTAACTTTCATTTTCTTGTATTTGCATTGCTAGACAAACTAGGCCCAGTTTTCCCATGTGGATGCTGAAACAGTATGTCTAAATCATACATTTGATCATTCACATAAGCAGATTTGCAAACAATTGCAGACTTGAGCCCCAAAATGCGGGCTCAAACAGACAACTATGTTTGAACATTAGGGATTGTATCTATGGAAAGAATTAAGACACAAATAACACAGGTAGGCTACATTGTTTTACATATGCTTTAGTAATGGCTGCTGATATCTAAACTGATTCTTTTCCCCTGCTACTCCAGCATGTTAATAATCAACTCAGGGATAGACCTTGTGTGACCCACATACCTTCTGGGTGTGGTGTTCTGTCCCATTTACTGGCACCGAGACCACTTAGAAAGAGAGATTAATGAGTTTGCTCTACAGCCTTTGCTAACAACCTGTTGGCTTTTAGCTCATGCAATAGAGGATCATGCACTAAGCTCCACAGGACTCCGGTTTGATCCCGCCCACCGATGACTGGGGTCTGCTGGCGTAACACTTGTATTCTGTACATGTCATATGAGGAAAATATTAACTAACCCACACTAAAAATAAAACTCAAACTGTCTTGAGATTATCCTTCTTTTACACAAGAAAAACAAGAATGCTTCCTGTAAAATAAACAACGTTGTATTGTTCTACAGGTGCAGTGCCCATTCCTGTTGGGTAGAATAATCCAGCCTGAAATTTACCTGTGACAATTCAAGGTGAAACATATGTTAGCTGATGAATTGTGCATCTGTGTCAGAATGTATGAGAACAACCTTCAATGGGGATAGTTCTTTTGGAATAGGGAGAAAATGGACCCAAATGAAATTTCTGGATAGTCAAAAATTTAGTTCATAATTAGCCCTGACTCCTGTCTTCTAAAGGGATGGGTTTCTTCAACAATGTTGTGTATATATTAGAGATGAGCCTTAGTTGTAAAATTCAGAGCTGGTTCCAAACACCCAAAGGTTGGGGTGTGAGGCTGGATCCAGTTGCTCTTGTTCACACCCATGTCTAGGATATGTACGCTAGCAGACCACTTGTATTCAATGGAATGTAAGGACTGACAACTCAATGTCAAGTGCACAGGCATCTGAGGAATACAAAAATATCATCATTATTTAGGAGAATTTTGCTCTGAGGATTTGCTATACCTGAGAGTGACATGCAGCAAAGACTTCACTGTTGATAATGCTGCACTGCCTCTGTGACCAGGACTTCCTATAAGGGTTGGTAGAGCACGGGTCCTTTGCAGAATTGGCATCAGGACAAGTAAGAGACACTTTCCAGCTGTTTCCAAACTCCAGCACATCTCCTACCACAGACTGACTTCTGGTGGTAAAGTCATTAATGCCATTGCCATCGTAGTTCCCACACAGGCCACAGACCTGACCCTGTACACACACACATGCACAAAAAGGATGATAGAAAGTTTTCAGCAATATCACAGACTAAAGGGTAATATCCTAACTCTCTGTTTTTCTAAGATAACATACTTTCCAAAAAATCTGCTTTTTTCCTCAGTAAAAGGACCTGATGAGTGGTCTGATGGGTATAAGCCCAGTAATTTATTTAAAAATTTGAACAGTAAGAAAATTGCGTGGTTATTGTGCCCCATCACTGGTGAGTTACGATGATGAATCTACAGTTAGCTAATTGCATATTCTTTTGTTTGTTTTGTGTTGTACAGATATACAATAGACATACTTAGATAAAACAGCCTTACAAAACTGTCATGAAAATGAGTAGCCCACTCCAGGCACAAAATCTACTCACTTGCTCTTTACCAAAATTAATGACATTGATAAAAATGAATACTTTGCTTGTCCATCCAAAAAATGTCACCCTAGGCAAGTGAGGAAATAAAATTTAGCAAGGCTGACATAAATACTAGGCTGTATGTATGAATCTAAAATACATTCCATATTTGTGGGAAAAATACATTTGATTCTGGTGTACTATTTAGCTAAAGAACTCATGGTATTAGAATATACTTCTACATACATTTCTGAAGCTGGCTGAACCAGTCCCTAATACATTTCCCTAATGGAAAAGTCAGTGTGGTATGCAAATAGGATGACAAAGTTCCCATTTCCGAAGTTCCCTTCTCACACATCAATAGCTATGTTGACAAACTCTAGAATAGTACCACACACTACCTTTAACATCTGTATTTTGAGACATGGTTAAACATACTTCCTATCATTTTACACAAGACTTTCAGCCATACTCTGTTTCATTTCAATCAATATTGCTTTTTCACTCAAGAGGAATGATAATTCATCGTTTGTGTTAATGATAGTTGGCAGCAAACTCCTGCCTTCTTAAGCCTTACCTTGAAATCAGGGCTGAGTTTGATGAAGATGCTGGTTTTCTTATCCCACATGAGGATCAGTCCATTGTTGGTCTCAATAACTAAGTACATGCCCATATAGCGGACTTGGTATGGCATTTGCCTTCCATTTTCTCTTTCTACCACTTCAAGGTGTTCCTCACTGAGTATCAACTCATAGCCCTAAAATGGAGAGAAAAAAGAAACCAAAAGAATGACTAAGAATCAGCTTTTGGCTCCTCCTGAGTCTCCAATGAATACATAATAAACCTGTTCTTTTAAAATTGTACCAAAAAAGGAACTCACCACAAGGAAGACTTTAATAGACTTAGAGCAGGTAGTCCCAGTGGAGCCACAGGGGATGTTTTCAGTGACAACTCGGAAGGTTCCATTGACTGTGCTGTTTTTCCCACAGTGGTCCTGAAGAGAGAAATGAAGTTAGCAGATAGATAATTGCCATATGGAGGATACAGGTGACTCCACAAGTAGTAATGCTAAGACAAAAGCTCAGTACCTGGACTAATGTGTATTCACAATCTCCGTTGAAGCTAAACCGTTTGTCATCAAATGTGATGTAATGCCCATCTCCATAAATAGCGCACGTACCCAGGCATTGTTCACTGGTGCAGTTCCACATCCTGTTCTTACACACGCTAAGAAGGAGAAGAAAGTATTTTAATCATAAAATTACTCACTTGATGCACAGGTAATTCCCACAACATATTTATTTAATTCAGTATGTATCAGTCCTGGTAAATGTTGTATTCACTCTTGTGTTAAAGTTAGAATTTTTCCAAGCAAACAATTAATGCAAAAGCTCTATATCATCAGCATGAAGGGGTTAATAGGAATATAGATAATACTGCATGAAAACACAAGGCCTGGTAGTAATGGGGGACTTTAACCACCCAGACATCTGTTGAAAAAGTAATATGGCAAAACACAAAATGTCCAATAGGTTCTTGGAATGCATTGGTGACAGCTTTTTGTTTCAGAAGGTGAAGGAAGTAACCAGGGGGACAGCCATTTTAGATTTGATTCTGACCAACAGGGAAGGAACTGGTTGCGAATCTGATGGGTGAAGGCAATTTGGGTGAAAATGATCATGACACGACAAGCTTATGCTCAAATAAATTGGTTAGTCGCTAAGGTGCCACAAGTACTCGTTTTCTTTTTGCAAATACAGACTAACACGGCTGTTACTCTGAAACATGACATGATAGATTTCATTCTAAAGAATGGAAGGAGTGAGAACGGCAGAATAAGGACAATAGCAGATTTTAACAAACTCAGATAACTGGTAGGCAAGGTCCTGTGGGAAGGAAATCTAGGAGAAAAAGGAGTTCAAGATTGCTGTCAGTTTCTTGAGGAGACAATATTAAAGGAGCAACAGCAAATTATCCTGATGCAAAGGAAAGATAGGAGAATAGTAAAAGGCCAATATGGCTCTATCACGGGCTCTTTAATGAACCGAAAATCAAAACAAATAAACAAATCCTACAAAAAGTGAAAACATGGTCAAATTGCTAAGAATGAGTGCACAAGAATAGCAGAAGCATGTAGGGACAAAATCAGAAAGGCTGAGGCACAAAATGGAGTTACATAAAAGACAATAAAGAAGAGGTTCTATAAATACATTATGAGCAAGAGAAAGATGAAGGAGGTCCTCTACTTAGCAGGAAAGAAGAGTTAATAATGGACATTATCAAGAAGACTGAGGTGTTCAATGCCTATTTTGCTTCAGTCTTCACTAAAAAGGTAAATGTGACCAGATAACTAATATTATTAATATTAACAACAAGGAGAAAGGAATGGAAACTAAACTAGGGAAAGATCAGGTTAAAGAATATGTAGATAAGTTAGCTATATTCAAGTTGGCAGGGCTTGCTGAAATTCATCCTAGGGAACTTCAGGCACTAATTGAGGCAAACTTGGAACAATTAATGATTATCTTTGAGAATTTAGGGAAGATGGGTGAGGTCCCAGATGATTGAAGAAGGGAAAAGTGTAACAAAGAGGACCTGGGGAATTATAGATCTGTCAGCCTGATTTTAATACCTGGAAATATACTGGAACAAGTTATTAATCAATTTGTAAACACCTTGAGAATAATAGGGCAACAAGTAATAGCCAACAGGGATTTTGTCAACAACAAACCATGCCACACCAACCTAGTTTCCTTCTTTGATGGGATTACTGGCCTAGTAGATAGAGGAGAAGCTGTAAATGTAATATATCTTGATTTTAGAAAGGCTTTTGATAAAGTCCCATATGATATGCTCATGAGAAAACTAGGGAAATGTGGTCTAGATGAAATTACTGTAAGGTGTGTGGAAAACTGGTTGAAGGACTGTATTCAAAGAGAAATTATAAATGGTTTGGTGTTAAACTTGGGGGATGTAGCTAATGGGGTTCTGCAGGGGTTTGTCCTGGGTCCGGCACTGTTCAGTATATTCATTAATGACTTGGATAATAGAATAGAGAGTATACTTATAAAATTTGCCCGTAACACCAAGCTGGGAGGAATTGCAAGCACTTTAGAGGACAGGATTAGAATTCAAAATGACTCTGACAAATTGGTGAAGTGTTGATGAAATTCAATAAAGACAAGTGCAAAGTACTATATTAAGGAAGGAAAAATCAAATGCACAACTACAAAAGGAGGAATAAGTGGCTAGGCAGTAGTGCTGGTGAAAAGGATTTGGACATTATAAGGGATCACAAATTGAATATGAGTTAACAATGTGATGCAGTTGCAAAAAAGGCTAATATTCTGGGCTATATTAACAGGACTGATGTAATTTTCCCATTCTACTTAGCACTGGTGAGGCCTCAGTTGGAGTACTGTGTTCAGTTCTGAATACCACACTTTAAGAAAGATGTGGACTAGCTGGAGAGAGTACAGAGGACAGCAGCAAACATGATAAAAGGTTTAGAAAAGCTGACCTGTGAAGAAAGGTTTTTTTTTTTAACTAGGCATGTTTAGTCTTGAGAAAAGAAGATGGAGAGGGAACTTGCTAACAGTCTTCATATATGTTAAGGATGCGATCAATTGTTCTTCATGTCCACTGAAGACAGGACAAGAAGTAATGGGCTTAATCTGTAGCAAGGGAGATTTAGGTTAGATATTAGGAAAAACCTTCTAACTACAAGTATAGTTAAACTCTGGAATAGATTATCAAGCGAGGTTGTGGAATCCCCATCTTTGGAGGTTTTTAAAAACAGGTTAGACAAACACCTGTCATGGATGGTCCAGGTATACTTGTCCTGCCACAGCACAGGGGAATGGACTAGATAATCTATCAAGGTCCCTTCCACCCCTATTTTTCTATGAATCTGTTTCTATGAAAACCTTAAACCCAAAGATTTCGTGGCTCCCACTTTTGCTTTTACCATCTACCTCGAATGACAGAAAACTGGCTTGTTATGGTTAATATACTGAAAAGTCCATCTGCCAACCCAATCCACAATGAACATTTCTTTTTGCTATTGTGCTGCTTATATATGGATATTTGGAAAGGGCAATGTGGTGGCTCCATGAACCACACAGTTCAATGAATACATACCAGGTGTTGCAGTCAACTTTGATCTCTTCCCCTGGTTTGTAGGTAGCCTCGTTGTGAATACATGGACATTCCTCTTCAGCAATACAGCTGCCTTTACCATCCGACACTAGCCCAGAGGGGCACATGCAGCCAGACATACACTGTGTGCTGTACTGTAAAGCCAAGCAGAAAATGTAACTTACTTACTTGAGTAGAGAGAGAGTGAGATTAGGTTCTTAGAACCTGTCTCTGGACTGTTGTTTATTTACATCCAGTTTAAATCAGAGATGTCTCAAAGGAAAATATGGATTGCTCAAACATATGGTTGGTTGCTAAAGGAAGTTTTAGTGGAAGATAAAACCTGTTAAAAGTCAACATTTCATGTGTCCCAGTCTCCACATGTGGTCTATGGATTGTGAAAGTGTGAAAAATATTGAATTGGGTACTGAATTACTGATGAACCTGTGGACCTGCTGATCTATGTGTGAGTGGATGGAAAGTTAAAAAAAGAATTGCTTCATACATTTTTTCTGATGCATTAAGTTGGATTGCCATTTATCTCACATGATGCTGTCTCATAAAATGACATAGCCAATTAGGCTGTTATCATGTTCCTAGCCTTTGTAATATAATTGGATGTGTAAGAGATTATTAAAAAGTGAGTCATGGCACAAAAGATATTAACAGTTTCGATCAAGGTTACATCCAGTAATTTTCTACTGAACGGATTGTGCATATGGCAAACTTCTGGATGTTTCGTTGAGACAAGTTCTTGCTAGGTATTGTTATCTGAGTTAGATCTACAAAGTCCGATGCATCTCCAGTCAGTACCTCTGTGAGAGATTCAAGTAAAGTTGACTTTTATTTGCTCATGGTCTTGACCTTTAGTGATTGCATTGTTAATGCTTCATAACATGCTTCCAGGGTTTCACGGCACAAACAACAGACTATCAGTATTACAGCTTCAGGACCATATTTATGAACCATGAATAGTTCTAGTGTACAGGAGTAAAAACAAACCTTAGTTTTCTACAAAGGCTATCCTGTCCAGCCACTTCATACTTACACACTGCATGTCAAGAGTCTGGCAGCTCTTCTGGCATTCGGCTCCAGTAGTGCCTGCAGTGATATTTCTGCAGTCAAAGTAGACCATGGGAGGAGCGCAAACTAGGGGAGAGAACGGCATGAGAGATATGAGAAAAGGCACCAGAGTTGGCACAGCAATAACATGTTTTCAATTTGCTATAAGGAGACTAGGCTCTTCATATCCAGTACAATTAAAAAAAGAATGCAAGGGTTTATGTGACAGGATGCTATGAATTCCCTAGGAAGTAGCAGTTTTTTATTTATATAATCTCTTAGAAATTACATGTAATTCTTATTGCAATACCTTCATATTATTTTTTTTTAACTGGTCACACTGTATAGACTGATATTTTATTTTAAAAATAGTAGATGAAATTAAGGAACAGTTTCCACTCTATTGACTTTCCTGTGTGTTTCAGTTTTGTTCTGTTGCACCAAGAGAAAACATATTCAAAACCAAGGACAGACTAGAGAGCAAAGATAAGCTAAAGAAGGGTTTTTACCTGCCATTTGGTTCACAGCTCCAATGCAGCTCAGCTTACCCTGTGCACAAGTGCTGTAGGAAATGGAAGGAAATAATAATATTTATTCTTTATTATTTTGCATTTACTGTAGCACTTTCTGTTCTAAGAGTCGCATACTGAGCTTTTCTGCTGTTTCAGAACTTTCCAATAGGACATGGAATTCTAACATGCCACCTTGTGATTACAGAAAAAAGTTTCTTGTCAACCCAGCTGCTGGTGGTATTTCCCTATGATCTCGGCTATAGATGTCCAGGAAAAATTGTGACCGAAAATGTAACAGACAATGTCTCCCTGTGAGTTTGATGTTTATTATACTATAAACCTCTCGCTGTGTATTTTTGTATTTTATGCTGGGAAAAATCATTGAATACAATAGGATCGCACCTGAATACAATAGTTCTCATAGGTCTGGAAAAATGCACTACTCTCATAGACTAATAGAACTAGAACTATTCTGTGGACAGAGCATTATATTGAAAATCATGCAGGGCTGGGTACAGCAAGCTTAACTGGGGTGTATTCTTTTATTTAAAAAGTTTATACAATGCAGCGTTAGTGTTTTATCTCTTTGATAAAGATTTGATAGAATCTCTTACCAAACAAGACCATCTTCATGAACAGCTTCCCCAGAGGGAATGGGAGATCCTTTGTAATAACAAGGACATTTGCTAGCAGACACACATTTGCCATATTCATCCATGTAGGTTCCTTTTTCACAGGAGCAACCATCAACTGGAATGAACCTGATGTTACATGTGACATCGGGCTCACTCAGAGACCGGCAAGTGGGTTGACAGGAACTGATGTTATAGCTGTAGGTCAAGGATTTGGGACATGAGGTTGTGTATTTGGCTTGAGAAGGAAAAACAAACAAAATGATATCAACAGATTTGTTAGTTGCAGATAATATTATTTGGTGGGGAGAAAGGGGGAATATGTAGTCTGAATAACAGATAAAAAACAATGCTATACAATTTTTTGTGTATCACATTTTTCAGACAAAATGTATCCCAGCATGCTTTCAGAGTTAAATAATGCACAGCATTAAAAAAAGAAGTAACAGGAGATAGGGGACAAATGAAGTGATATATGCAAATGAAAAAAGATATGTTTTCAAATGAGATTTGGAAAGAGAAACCATACATCACGATGGCAGTTATAACAGAAACCCTATAAACCTTTGGTGCACTCTGAGGCATGAGGCCTCCTGAGGTAGGCAAATACACCTGCACATGTTGGATCAAAGAAAACAACTTGGTGACTTTAAACAAACCTTTGTTTAAACATTTTTTATTTTTGAAGTATTTTGTTTAGAACCAATATTGCTTCTGTGATCTGACACATTCATTTCCATGGCAACTGGGGACAGATGAAACTCTAGTTAACTTAAAGCCTCTGCGAAGAGAGTCAGAGCCACTTCAGCAGCAGTTGTCTTTTTCCTAGCAACAATTGTGTCTTCCATCTGTTTGTATTCACACAACTAACCTCCATTACATTATTAAAAAAATAGGGAATTATTGCTAGAATTTTACTTTTCAATACCTTTCCCTCAAAATTTACTGGGAGAGCCCTGGATTGGCTAGAAATTGATATAAGGTGATGATTGATTGATAAATTCTACTACTGGTTCTTTCAGAATAGAAGACCGAGGGAGTGGCTATAACACTTACAACAGACATCAGTCCTCCATCCCTCCAGCTGGACTCCTTTGGCAGCACAAGCTCTCACATAGGAAGAGAGGGCAGCACACATACAATCCTCACTCTTTTCACAGTTACAGGTGTCAAACAGACAGTTCTAGAGGTGCAGAAACAAACTAATTAATAATCACAAAACTGCCCATCCAAAAACAGGTCCTGTTAACTTCTGGTCTTATGTATCAGCTTCTTCTCTGTATACATTCAGTTGTGAGCAGTGTCAACATACCTTTAATATTTTCCGACCTCCTTTTAAGTTTTTTTTTATATGGCGATAATGGAGACCCCAAAATATTGGCAGTTATTACTGTAAAATAAGAGCCAAAGAATCTGTTGTATGCTTTGTAATCTCCCATTTTACCTAAATATATGGATTATTCTGAAGATGATATACTTTAGTAAGCAAAAATTCATATACAATTAGTATATTTTATATACTTTGTGTATAACTTCCTCTTTATATGTTTACATTTTGGTTTTCCTGCTCTGTGGCAAATAGCAGTTCTTGTTTAACGAAGAGTGTAAAAGCAATTCAGGATGATGAAACCAAGAGTGCAGACTGAAATAGGGGTCGGCAATATACACATAAAGTAAGAAACATATATAGATAAAAAGAAGTGCTGTATTATGCAGATTAAAATATAAACACAGCATAATCTGGGAGACGTGTTTGGGACATTTCTTTCCAAACAGCTGGTTTTAAGGCTCCAATTTTGATTGTTTTTTAAAGGAAAAAGAAAAATAGCTAAATACCGTGTGGTACACAGCTGGATTCACTGTGGAGTGGCAATTGACAAAAGGTCCTGTGCTGTTCGTCAGCAATCCACACCAGTGCTGAGCATACTTTTCTGTGAATAGAGGAAATGAAATGAATCCATATTACTCTTTTTATTTCATTAGGCTCAAAAACCCACTGCTAATGTGTCCTTGTGTGAATCATGAACGCTCGTAAACTCAGTTCTGAAATTGTACCATAGCATCCACATTGTTTTGCTCACTGCTACATTTGGCAAAGACTTGTTAAAGCCAAAGTTATGAAAAAGCAGTTTCTCACCATGGATTGAACAAAGAATTCACAAAAGCCTTATAAATAAATAGCTATGGTACACTCATTCTGCACCAAGTTGCCATCTTGTTCACTAAACCTAAATCTGTGTTGGAAAGTGTCAGAGGGGTAGCCGAGTTAGTCTGGATCTGTAAAAGCGGCAAAGAGTCCTGTGGCACCTTATAGACTAAAAGATGTATTGGAGCATAAGCTTTTGTGGGTGATTACCCACTTTGTCGGATGCATGAATCCGACGAAGTGGGTATTCACCCACGAAAGCTTATGCTCCAATATGTCTGTTAGTCTATAAGGTGCCACAGGACTCTTTGCTATTGTTGGAAAGTATCCATGATTCTTGCATTTATTTTATTACTTACCTTCTCTCAAATTTTCTTCTCTTATGAACATGTCTTTCTGATTCCAAATGTATGTTTTACCATGTTTAAATCTCTTATGTCTTCTAATTTTTGCTTTATGTCAAGTATTTTCCATTAGCTCTATGAGGAAAAACTAGAAATCTAATTTCAAATTGGCTGCATGTCATGGACAATTTTCTATAATGCATTTACCATTTTCTACGCTGAGGGCACAAGGATTCTCAAAGTTGTTTTTGATGTTAGGGCACGAAGCTTGTGTTTTCCAGGTATTAGCAAATGCAGCTGCTGTTCCTTCCACTACACCACTTATGGCTTTGAAGTCATCAGCCTCAACATTGTTGAAGTTTCCACAGAGACCTGTTGAAAAAGCACAAAGTTTGAATCACTCATACCAGACCAATGTGGATTTCAGGCAGGTCACTGGTTTTGTTACATTCACTTACCACAGGTCTGCCCTTTGAAAGATGGATCCAGTCGCACAAACACTTGCATGACAGGTACAAGCTGGATCTCCAGCTGGAGTCCAAAGTTTGTCTCCACCATGATGAAGAAGGATGAGGGTCTGAAAATGGTGACATTAGCTATGGACAAAGAACAGGATAATCAGATTTCAGAAGAGATCAAATGCTTGAGAGTGACACCACCCCATTGTTATGGCTCTTTTTGGATTACTGTTGCAACTATAGTGAATCCTAGTGTGGAGTAAAGCCAAGATATGCTTAAAGTTGAATGAAAAATACAATGCAATATTTGCTTGTGACTGCCTAGGACCTAGCAAGTGAAGTTTGTATTAAAGTTACACAGGAGTAGAATGCTCCTTTTGTCTGCTCCTTCCCACAGACTAATGAAGGGAAAAATTGGATTACATCAAACATTAACAAGAATCATTTTGTTCTAGTTTCTAATCTGGTATCTTGATCATTGCAAGTCCATTGTGGAGAGGAGAATGAGCAGGGACTGGGTGGCATAAAAATCTTCAGTAAGGATCATTCTTTATGAGGATAGACAGCAAAAACCAAACTAATATCTTAACAAGTTGGACAACAAGTTGTAATTTATCATGAGACTTTAGACTTCTATTGCTGGAATCACCATTTGGGTCAAGAATTATCATAGCGAGAATCTAGTGTGAACATGCTAGGCTATGGGATTCTTCATTATACTGACACCACATCAACTCCTTTGAAGTTTAAAATAATAAGCAAGAGTCTAGGTGAAGTTTTGTGTGTGTCATGTATTGGCCCCAGGATAGAAACATACCTGCTGAGAAGGGCAACTGAGTGTAGATCCAATTCACAAACACACCCCCTCCAGACTTGATCACAATGATCTGGCAAGGAAGATAAAGATAAAGGAACGTTATGTCATGCATTGGTAACATCAGCATGATAATACCCCAGTAGATCCTGATGAATTTCATGAAACAGGGTTGATTTTCTGATTTTTACCCTTCCTTTAAAATCTTAATTGTCCTTCCTTTTAATCTTTGGTTGCCTTTTCCCTTCCAAAAGGGAATTGTTTTAAAGAATCATGCTTTGTCCTTTACAGAGCTGCATCATTGGTCAGGCTATCTTAGTTTGCAGTGATGCAGAGCCTCTGAATCTGAACTGACTTGCATGTAGTGCAGCTGGTAGTTTTAGGCAGAAACCAAGAAGATCATGGTCTCTTTGGTCTCATTGTTTACTTAATAGAAAGAGAACTTCTCTCCTGTTTTCTGAATAAAGTCTCTTTTCTGACTGAACTACCATGGGGCTGAACATACTACTTACCTCACAATTATGATAAAGAAAGATACATTTATTTTATCTTGGTTTAAAAAACTAATATGTATTTTCCAGACTTGCAGATCCTTAGAAGGATAAATGCCACTCCCTGACTAGATATGGGTGAAATTTTCTAGACTAAACTTTTTATTTTTTGCTGAGAAATGCAGATTCAAGTGGACAAAACATTTTCCAAATACGTGTTGCGTTTGCTAAATAGTTTCAGTAAAATAAAAAAGTTTAAACCTTTCATTCTGACATGTTCAAAATGAAATGTTTAGATTTGTTGACTCCAAATGACTTTTTTAACTTCAGTTTAATTAATTTTTTTAAAAGATAAAAAAAACTTGAAACAAAACTTTTCATTTTGTCTCAAATGAAACATTTCCTTTGACCTGAATTGAAAAATCCGTTATTAACAAAGCTCTATACCTGACTCATTCTGGCTTAATCTTTTTGCTCCCCACATTTTTATAAAATATTCCTGCAGCATTTTCACCACTTGTTTTGGATACTTACAGTTTGTCCCCCATTAATGCTGAGGGCTATTGTCTTTAAGCATGTCTCAGTGTCTGTCAAGCCGCAGGTGCGGAGTTCTCCCAGAACAGCGAATGTGTCATTTTCACAGAGCTGAAAAAACAATAGCAACAACTATTGCTTTAAAGGGTTGTTCCTGGGTCTGAAAAATATTTATTTTGTAGAGGTGGGTCCAAACTTTCCCAAAACTCAGGGCTATTTTGAACTAGTGTTATAGTTATAGAGACTGGGACTAGTCACAGAATTTGGATCTGGTTCTGGTGTTTAGAGTCAAAGTTTTGATTCAACCTCTGCTCAAAAATTTGCTTCAGCTCCACTCTCTATCCCCATCCTTTCCTGCCTGACCTGTGATGACCAAGGACTAGTATCATGGCAAAACCAGTTGCCACACAGCAAGGGGGTTGAACTGTATGACAGTTATGAAAATTGACCAAATACAGCAGTTACTTGTAAATATTCAGCATTTACCAACAATTACTACATCCTGGACTCTGAAATACATCAGTATTTACCTTGCATGTCAGGATTCCCAACATCACAGCTAGTTAATACATTTTGCATGAATTGCTGTATATTCTCGCTCAATGCAGGGCTCTCCGGCTTTCACAGAAAACTCTCCAATGTTCTTTCCTAAGTGTGGTTGGCTTCTCTAATCCTGACTGAGGCAGCCCTCCCACTCCTTCCATCCTGACTGGATGATCTATTAAAACCTGATGGTGCTTACCTTAGACAAAACGTAAGTGCAGTCTCCATGGACATTGTAACGTTTTTCATCATATGTGGAGATGTGTGAACCTCCCTCTACTGTACAAGATCCAGGGCACGGAATGTCTTTGCAATTCCACTGACCTCCATTGCAGGTACTGGAAGGAAAGCAGAGAAATTAATCACAACCCATGATAATAGCCTGGAGGAAAGGAGTTACAAGGTTTTGTTGTTTTGCTACTGATGTTCCCATCATATTATTCTTGGCTTCTTCAGAGGAAATCTAGGTTTGCAAATAAGTGAGTGGCTGCAGTTTCTTTTGTCTTGGAAAAGCCAAAATACTTCAAAGGAGCAAACAAAGAGAGAGAATTTTAACTGAGAGGTAATAAATCTATATATCACAAACCCTTATCTTAACTTGAGTCAGAATGCAAAGCCTGTTAAATAATGACACTAAAGGAGACAAACACTTTTTTTTTTTTTTTTGAGATTCTGTTCGAATTGCAGGGAAGTCAGTAATATGCACCCAGAGGTGGTTAATGATGAAATTGTGTATAATAAACCATTAAACTAGTTCATTTTACGAAAAAAGAAACAGCAAAGTAGGTAAGTTACCAGGAATGGCAATGGGCTCCAAAAGATGTCCCTGGAGCATAAGAGTTGCCATTGTAAGGACAGGAACACTCCTGAAGGGGGATGCAGCCAGCATTGTTAATGTCATCAAGCACAGTTCCTAAATGAAGAAAGAAACTGATACATTAAAAAGGTGTTTTACACATATGGACAATATGCAATTTTTCTTGCTTTAAATAGTTGACTACAAATATAAAATACAGTCTTGGAGCCAGATCCTCAGCTGTCATGAATGGTCATAGCTCCATTGAAGTCAGGGGAGCTATGCCAAATTGCACCAGCTAAGGATCTTGCCCTTGGAGTCTTAAAATCCCATTGGTTTTTCAAGGGATTTCCTGCCCTGTAAGATGAATTCAACTGAATAATACGGAATTGCTGTAGTAAAACCACCTCATTCCGATAAGACAGGCAGCATTTTATGTTCTATTTTGGTCCCTGATTGTTCCACACTATTTTGCAGATGTTGCACATCTACAGGAAATGAATTATTCAGTCACGTGTTCTGTCACTTGTTGTGCACAGGTAAAGGCCTACCACTTGAAGCGGTGAAGAGGGCAGCTGGAGGAGCCCTGAGCCCTGAGAAAGCTGCTAAACTCCTACATGTAAATCTGCTAGTACTCTTTATTGAGACTATGAAAGATGGGAGTAAATAAAAACTTGCCTGGAGGACAGAAGCAGCCATCCATACAGTGATCTTCACAGACTTGAGATCTTTCAGGGTTGGTGCAGGTGTCAGTGCAGGGGGATCCACATTCCTGGTACTGCATGTTGAAAGGACATGTCTTGGCTGGAATTTTAAACAAAGACAGATTTCTGAATTCAAATGTAATCCCTGTTGGCTACATATTAGCATGCATGTTCATTCAACCTTTCCCCACTAGACATGAGGCCACACCAAACCCGAGGTCCAGGGATCTCTTGGATTTTGAAAATCCCAATCCGTATTTTGTAGTTTAGGTTTGTTTTTCAAAAACTTGTGCATCAGATAGAACTGTATGGTGCTGAACTTGTGACCTAAAGTCTGGAATTCTATGGATTCATGAGTAATTGCCTCATAGATCTCTGAGGCACTCTGGTGTATTTGTTTTGCCATCCCCTCTTTTCAAGCATCTAAATTTCTAGTAAAATATGGAAGCGTTAATTTTCCAATGCATATACATATTTGAGTTCTGTGGAAATCACTGAAGTATCCAATTATACCCTGGAGAATTTACCTCCAGAATTTACACTGATAAATATTAGTGAGCACAGTTTAACCATGGGGAGATCAGCTGTACCCCAGGATCTGGCCTGAAGTATGGAATTCATATTAGAGCGCTCTGGAAACCAATCCAGTACTTAATAACATGTAGTTCCTATGAGTTCCCAGCAAACTATAGGAATCTGTCTCTGATTAATTGGCAAGCACACATGAAGACCAGTTCTAGAGACACTTACGACACAGTTCTGGGGTTCTCCAGTTCAGAGGTTGTCCATTGGCATGGGCGCACTGCCGGGAGTATTCACCAAAGGTGTTACAAATACAGAAGGCATTCTTAGACTGGTCACAGCGGCACAGGTCGTGTTCACAAGACCTAATGTAGTCGCTAACCTCAACTAGAGCATTACATTCTGAAAATGCATGGCCAGTCAATACTTTACGGCAAATGTCATCCTAGAGAGAAAACAAAACAGAACAATTTATTAAATCCACAAATTCCTCAAAACAGAGAGGATCAGTTTTTAATACTGTTATCCATTTGTTAAAATTATTCTTTAATGACATCTTGTATTCTCCTTCTTCTACTTCCAATCCCTTCATAGTTTTCTCCACGTGTCCCTCCTGAAACAGGAGAAGAGAGTGGGTACATTTAAATGAAAGACACATAAATAAACAAAAAGATCCTTACAGAATTGTCCGTGCAGTTGTTTAGGGAGGATGATGTAGGATCCTCACAGACTTCTGTTGGCCCATCCATCTTCTGCATATTTCCAAACTGCATGGCAGTCAGCTTAGCATCTGCAATAAATAATTTATTAATATACAGGATTTTTAATGGAGTTGGTTCTCTTTGAATTCTTTCATGTAGACATTACATTTGGCATGTAGACAAAATTAACACTGTGACACCATAGACTCAATTTACTTTGAATGACATCATCCTTATATCAGAAAACAATTTCAGGAACATGCAAACTGAAATTTGTATTGGAAAATGACAAACTCATTCCAGGTTAGATGAGACCACAGTTAGATAACAGAAGAGAAAGTTTTAGACAGGTTATGAATAGAAGAGACTACTGTGAGACAGAATTTAGGAGAAAAGGTGAGATTTGAATAAATTGCCTAAAAGCTTTGTAAACAAAATGGTGATACTGACAGTGGGAAAAGAGAGATGGATAGAGAGATAGAGGCCTATAGCCAGCTGATTGGGCAACTCAGGCTCGAGATATTGTGCTGATGCTTGCATGTTAATTATGGACAAAAATGTGTGAGGGTTTGCAAATATAGTTTATATATAAAATCATAGAAATATAATTTAGAGGTGACATCTTGGAGTATGTTAAAATAGAACATTCTTGACCAGAAATTGTTGTGATTGCTTTGCTTATTGTCTTTTGTCCTGTGGATGGTATTATTATTGTCTTTTGGTCTGTGGATGTATTTCTATATTTAATTATGCTTGAGAATCAGTATTTCGCCCACATCTAACTGGCTAACAAATGAAATAAATAGACAAATGGTATACACGAATACATATATAATTCAAGTTACTGAAGATCCAAATGTGCTGATGTTCTCAGCAGATCTTTCAGCAGGATGGAAAAGAGGCCTGCTGAAGGGGTATGGCCAACAGAACACAAAAAATGGATGGGGTAGACATTGGAGCTATTAGAAACCAACAGTCTGTCATTATTTTTAATACTTACCATTTGAAAAGAACTCATTGTAAGTTGGAATACCATTGAAGTCCCCACAAAGCCCACAGGTATAATTGGCATATTTGTCATTCAGTTCCAGCTAAAATGGTGGGGGAAAGATGATAGATGTTAATATACATATTCCACAATGTCTTCAAAACCAGTGAAAGCAGTTGTGCCTCCTACACCTAAATAATTTTCATCAGTGTTGTGTAAATGTTTTAGCAGACCAATTCAAACCTGGCTCATAGAATGTGGACTTCATAGAATCCAAGTTATTTATGCAGACCTAGTTTTCACTGCAATATCTGTATGATATCCAGCCTTTTTTCTATCTATTTGTTTCTTCAGAAAGAAAATCAAATTCACTGTGAAACTGAAGTCCTATGACAGTGGAATTCTACTGGGAAATAAAATTTGAGGAGGTGAGTGGCACCTAATGTAATGATGCTATTATGTTACTGAAGTGAGGGAAGTGCTTTTTCCCATTTTAAGTGGGAGGCCTGATTTCCACTAGGAACACACCACAGTTGCTTTCTGCAGGAGTGCATGAATACAAACATAGCTCTGTAATGGGAGAAATAATCAGCAGGGGGAAACAGCAGCTCCCAAACTGCTGGGGGCAAGTGTATCCAGGGACTAACCATATATCTTCATACTACCTCTCAAGATTTAGGCTTATGGTCAAATATTTAGGCAGTTTCTCTTTTGTACACCTTTACCTACTTGATTTGCATATGCCATGGCTGTTTGTATGCATGAGTGTGGAATCAGTGCGTGCAAATTGGTGCCCAAACACATTCTTAAGCCAGTCAAAAATTTAAGTCTAAATGTTTTAATAGACTGTTTCCTATTCTCTGAAGCACCTAGAACTTATTCTTACCAGAATGCTGTCATCTTCATTCCACATGAAAACCAGGCCCATTTTGGCAGTCACTTTCATATACATGCTGCTTCTCTCAACCATGATTCCAGACTGGCTGTAAGGCAGCTGAACCCTGGAGAAAAAAAGCATCAGAGATGTTAAGTATTTTCTATGCCATGCTGAAGAAGAAGAAAAGGTTGCTTGTGTTATCAGGTGTCCATGTGGGTCCTTCGACAATGCAGTATTGTGGAAGAAAAAGCAGTTTAAAGAAAAGATGGGCCCAAGACACAAAAAATATGGATCTGGATCTGGATTCAAGCTTCCTCAAAGCTCAGGGGCATTTTGATCTGGTGTTTTGGTTTGGGCCCATCTCTGAAGGGAAAGAGTACTTTATAATGTGACATCCTAACAGAAGAACGGCGAGATGGTTGTATGGTTAAAGTTACATGGTTTATCAAAATACATACAAGTTTTTCCAAGAAAGTGCTGAAATATATGCCTGGTTTGAGGAAACAGCTATGTTCATCACACACAGAGATATGTCTAAACCTACCTGTTGCCATTGACAACAACAAAGTTCTTTGCCATTTCAAAAACCACCCCATCGAGCTTCATGGTGATATGGTTGATTGTAGGAGCATTTTCCACCACAGTGCGCCTGATCTGGATGTTGAAGTCCTCATAGGCAGCATTGCAGTGGGATGCAAAGATGTAATTACAGAGCCCAGGGAAGTAAAAGATGTCCCCATCAAAAGTCTTGAAGTGGAAATTGCCCCACGTACTGCATACGCGGCCATTGTGAGCAGGGTTGAAGGCTGTGGATTGAAAACTCGTAAGAATTTACTGAGAATTCCCTGACTTAACATGAATATTATTAGATCAGTCTGCCCAAACCTTCATTTCTTTAGTTTATTCATTGCTCTGTCCCCTTCCATTTATTTTCTGTCCATTTATCAATTGTGACATAATCAATTTGTCCATCTATCCACCTACTTATTTAACCCATCTCTGTTGCTCCACCCATCTACTGTCTGCCATGTATAATGTACCAACCTATCTATGACAGGTTTCAGTGTAACAGACGTGTTAGTCTGTATTCGCAAAAAGAAAAGGAGTACTTGTGGCACCATAGAGACTAACCAATTTATTTGAGCATAAGCTTTCGTGAGCTACAGCTCACTTCATCGGATGCATACTGTGGAAAGTGTAGAAGATCTTTTTATATACACACAAAGCATGAAAAAATACCTCCTCCAACCCCACTCTCCTGCTGGTAATAGCTTATGTAAAGTGATCACTCTCCTTACAATGTGTATGATAATCAAGGTGGGCCATTTCCAGCACAAATCCAGGGTTTAACAAGAACGTCTGGGGGGGGGGGGTAGGAAAAAACAAGGGGAAATGGGTTACCTTGCATAATGACTTAGCCACTCCCAGTCTCTATTCAAGCCTAAGTTAATTGTATCAAATTTGCAAATGAATTTCAATTCAGCAGTTTCTCGCTGGAGTCTGTATTTGAAGTTTTTTTGTTTTAAGATAGCGACCTTCATGTCTGTGATTGCGTGACCAGAGAGATTGAAGTGTTCTCCGACTGGTTTATGAATGTTATAATTCTTGACATCTGATTTGTGTCCATTTATTCTTTTACGTAGAGACTGTCCAGTTTGACCAATGCACATGGCAGAGGGGCATTGCTGGCACATGATGGCATATATCACATTGGTGGATGTGCAGGGCATTGGTCAAACTGGACAGTCTCTACGTAAAAGAATAAATGGACACAAATCAGATGTCAAGAATTATAACATTCATAAACCAGTCGGAGAACACTTCAATCTCTCTGGTCACGCAATCACAGACATGAAGGTCGCTATCTTAAAACAAAAAAACTTCAAATACAGACTCCAGCGAGAAACTGCTGAATTGGAATTCATTTGCAAATTTGATACAATTAACTTAGGCTTGAATAGAGGCTGGGAGTGGCTAAGTCATTATGCAAGGTAACCTATTTCCCCTTGTTTTTTCCTACCCCCTCTCCCGCTCAGACATTCTTGTTAAACCCTGGATTTGTGCTGGAAATGGCCCATCTTGATTATCATACACATTGTAAGGAGAGTGGTCACTTTAGATAAGCTATTACCAGCAGGAGAGTGGGTTTGTGTGTGTGGGGGGGAGGGGTGAGAAAACCTGGATTTGTGCTGGAAATGGCCCAACTTGATTATCATACACATTGTAAGGAGAGTGATCACTTTAGATAAGCTATTACCAACAGGAGAGTGGGGTTGGAGGAGGTATTTTTTCATGCTTTGTGTGTATATAAAAAGATCTTCACACTTTCCACAGTATGCATCCGATGAGGTGAGCTGTAGCTCACGAAAGCTTATGCTCAAATAAACTGGTTAGTCTCTAAGGTGCCACAACCTATCTAAATTTCTGTGTTTCTACTTATCTATCATATGTCTGCCCACCTATCTACCTACCAATCAACGCATTGTTCTGCCATCATGTCATGTTTATCCAGCTATTTGTTCCTTACAGCACTGATCGACCCATTTTTTCCCCTTAATCAGTCTGTTTCCCTGTTTATTTTAACTTTCTGATCAGTACTTCAGAAGGTTGGAGGAATTTTTGAGACTATTTGCTTAACTTACATGTTATTACTGGGCTTGTTGTCAGTGGCGGGATGAAGTTCACTGTTCCAGATGGAGTACTAGTAATAAATGCTTCAGACAAATAAGGAAAAAAAAATCAGTTAGTATAGAAAGTTTATGGGTGGTAGTTGTGGGAGGAATTCACCTGCCTTAAAATTGTTTAACCAAGCAGGATTGCACCCTTATTTTGCAGTCATTCTGTTCAGAGAATCTGAGAAAGAGACACTTGCATAACAGTAGGATGCAAGATAAAAGGAGTTTGGTGGCCTCAGCCTAGTCTCCACCTGTCCATATCACAAAGCCACCTCGCAGGGCTGGCCTTATCATGAGGTGAACTGAGGCGGCCACCTCAGGTGCCAGACTGTGGAGGCGGGGTGCCACTAGGACCCAGAGTGTAGAAAATTGTGTCTGCTGCTGGTGCATATGTATTCTCTCTGCTCTAGATGCACAGAGATGGTGGAGTGCTGTGCTGGAGGAAGGAGGGCACAAGAGACATAACAGGCAGGCAGGAGAAAAGGTGAGAGGGAATAACAGAAAGCAGCAGGAGCTGCAGGGAGAGAGAGGAGGAGGATTAACACCAGCTTCTCAGGGAGCTTCCTGTTTCCTGCTGCTTCCCTGGACCCACTTGAGGAGAACAGGCAGTCAGCTGAAGTAACAGGAGCCAGTTAGGCCCTTAAGATGCTGATATCTTCCCTCACTCAGGCCCTGCTACCAGCCTGCTTATTTGTCCCCTTCAACTGAGTGTTGAGAGCCACTATAGCTGGCACAGAACAGCAGTCATGAGTGAAAGAAAAAAACACCCCTCTGGGGCAGCATTCAGAAATAGAAAGAAAGCAAAGGAAGCTTTTCTGTCTAAGCAGAAAGGAGCTCTCATGAGATACATAGACACAAATGTTCACAGTGAGCCTTCTAGCCACAGTGAGGATGTGAGTGGTGAGGAGATGCCTGATCTTCCAGTTAGTCAGAGTGCAGATGACCTGGCATCTCCATCTCAAATGGATGTCACCATGCACATTCCTGAAGAAAAGCGTAGATCAGAGAAGAGTGTGGTGGAGGCGCAAAAAACAGCTGCTGCTGAGTTTAGTTCCTTAAGTCTAGATGATCCAAGACTGTGGACCCACTTGAGCAGTTAGTTGCCTGAGGGACTTCCTTGTACTGCATGGGCCACAGCAAGTGAAAAACTTCATGTTCCCCAAAGACAATGAAAATAGAAGTTTCCATCCAACACATTACTGGCGTGAAATCCCCAATGGTGACAAAGTGGAGAGGCCATGGCTTATGTACTCAAAAACCCAGAATGCTGCATACTGTTTTTGTTGCAAACTCTTCCAGCCTAATGTTCCAGCCACATTGGGTTCTACAGGAACAAAGGACTGGAAAAGTCTGGCTAGAAATCTGGCATGCCATGAGAAGGCAGTAAATCACCAGACAGCATTCCATAGGTGGAAAGAGCTTGAGATGAGACTAAGGTTAAAGGCCACCATAGATGATCAGCATCAAGAGAAGATTGCATCAAAGTCCCTTTACTGGCAAAATGTTCTGAAAAGGCTCATTGCCATTGTGAGAGTGCTTGCTACCCAAAACCTAGCACTGCGTGGCACTTCAGATCAGCTGAATGTGCCAAACAATGGAAACTTCCCTAAAATTGTGGAGCTGATGGCCGAGTTTGATGCTGTACTCCAGGAGCATCTAAGAAGAGTCACCACCCAAGAAATGTACACACACCACTACCTTGGAAAAACAATTCAAAATAAGATCATACAGTTACTGGCAACAAAAGTCAAACAGAAGATTGTGGCAGATCTGAAGTCAGCAAGATATTATTCTGTTATTCTGGACTGCACACCTGACATCAGGCATACGGAACAAATGACTTTAATGGTGTGTTTTGTAACAACAACAGAACCTAATGAAAATGTCCCTGCAATGGTGACTGTCAGAGAGCATTTTCTAGAATTTATTGACATTGATGATACTACAGGAGCTGGTATGACAAATGTGCTTCTTAAAAAGCTGGAAGATACGGGAATTGCGATAGCTGACATGAGAGGTCAGGGCTACGATAATGGTGCCAACATGAGAGGAAAGAACAGAGGAGTGCAAACATGGATCCGAGAGTTAAACTTTCAAGCTTTTTTTTGTCCCATGCAGTTCTCATTCATTGAACTTGGTGGTCAGTGATACAGCATCAGTTTCTAGTGAGGCTACTGAATTTTTTAATGTAATTCAAAGCATCTATGTATTTTTCTTTGCATCAACTCATCAATGGCAAATTTTGAAGCAACATCTGGGAACATCCTCTCTGACACGGAAGCACTGAGTGCCACACGACGGGAAAGTCGAGTGGAGGCGATAAAGCCTATCAAACACCAAATTGGGAAGATAGATGATGCCATAGTTGTCATTATGGAGGATAATGCTATGACAGCAACTGTCGTGGGAGAACAGAGGCAGAGGGAAATGGAATCAGCAGAAACATACATAACTTCAAATTTCTATGTGGCTTAGTGTTGTGGCATACTGTTTGAAATAAATGTTGTAAGCAAGAGATTCCAAGGTGTTGACCTTGATATATCTGGAACAATGGAACAACTAGACAAAGCAAAATCATACCTACAGTCTTACTGGTCAGATGAGGGATTTCAAAACGTTCTGAAGAGTGCACAGAAGTTGGCAGAGGAACTTGACACTGAAGCTATTTTCCCACCCATTCAAGAATACAGGAGTCACCGAAGAAGAAATTTTGATTACGAGGCATGGCATAATCTCATAAGAGACCCCAAACAACAATTCCAAGTTGAATTCTTTAACCAGGTGCTAGATTGTGCAATACAGTCAGTTGAAGAACGTTTCATGCAGCTCAAGGAACACAGCAGTATATTTGGGATGTTGTATGATATTCCAAAACTCCTCACTATACCTGAAGAAGACCTACACTAGCAATGCAGGGCACTAGAGACAGTGTTGACATGTGATAACATGTACAATATTGATGCAAGTGATTTAGGTGATGAACTGAAAGCCCTTTCAAGATACATTTCAGCAGGATCAACTCCAAAGGCTGTTCTGGAATATATGTGCACAAATAAGATGACCACCCTCTTTCCAAATGCTTTTGTTGCTCTGCACATGCTTCTAACGCTTCCTGTAACAGTTGCCAGTGGAGAACACAGTTTCTCCAAACTGAAGTTAATAAAAACACATCTATGCTCCACAATGACACAGGATAGGCTGGTCGGCCTTGCAACCATCTTAATAGAGCATGAGCTGGCCCAGACTGTGGACCTTCAAGAAGCAGTTCAAATCTTTGCAACCAAGAAGGCATGGAAATCACCACTTTGATTATTCAAACAGATAAAAATGCCAGTGTTTACTATGCAGACAAGAAAAGTTACATTTGCTGTTCAGGCGTTTGAAAGCTAGGTGTTAAAATTTTTGAACAAGGCATTTTAAGTTGTTAGTTCTCCTTTATTGGGGTAGGTAGCAGAGCAGTACCATGAGAGGAGTAGAACAGGAAGAAGGCAGAATTGAGACCTTTCAAAGTTTTGGCCCAAACGAGGGGGCATAGGGGTGTCATTTGAGCTCCCCGCCTCAGGTGCCAAAATGTTGTGGGCTGGTCCTGGCCACCTGTCAGGTTATCATTATCCAGTAGAAATAACTTTCTCTGCCCAGAAGAGGCCCTGGGCCAGAATAGCAAAGGATCAGTGCTGAGGTGCAGAACTCTCAGTGAAAGCTTGTACAATTCTTGCCTGCTCTATTTTATGCCTGACTTAATTTGCTACCTGGCCTTACTTTTATGAAAAACAAAAATCACTGAAAATGATTATATTTGAACTTGTCAGTGTTTAGAGAATGGTAAACAAGAAAGAGAAAATTTACATTAGCACAAAGGATTATGGGAACATTTATCAAGAAGTGGCAACAATTATGATATACGAATAGGAGCAATTCTGCAAGTAATTACTCATGCAAGTAATCTTTACATTTAATAGGACTCCTCACATGAGTAAGGGCTTTTGAGATTAGTTCTAATTAATGTAACATTATCATAATAACAAAGCATACAAAATAATGAATGACAGAGAGAAGGTAGATCAGGTACTTCCGTTCACCCTGTCTGATTATACAAAAAAACAAGGGAAGAATCAATATAAATTGGCAAATATAAGTGGCAAATTTGAAACTCAGATGAAAAGTGGCAAATTCAACAACATACAGTTAGGCGGGGGAACTCATTACCACAATATCGCTGAATCCAAGAGCTTATATGGATCACAAGAATAACTAGAGTTATAATAACAGATACTAACAGACATATAAATAATTTGAAAAGGATATAAACCCCCATGTTTCAGAGCTTGAGACCACCTCTAACTATTGGGAGTGAGGAGGAAAACTTTCTTTGGGTGCAGGTTACCCCATGACTGTCTATTGCAGGGTTTCTTGCACCTTCCTCTGAAGCATCTGGTACTGGAGAGTGTGATTAACAGGATTCTGGAATTGATGGACCATGGGTCTGATCAAGTATAGGGTAATTTTTACATTTATGGTTACATAAAAATGTAGGATTTAACAACAATCCTAGTGGAAAACTCACCAAAAATAAAATGTTTTAAAACATTTTAAACTGATAGTGAAATCACGAAATTTCAAGAGATGGATAGTTGTTATTTTGTTTTGATCTTCAAAGCTATCTTCATCCAAACGTCGTTAATTGTATTGGCTTGAGGCAAGATGATTAAATTAGTCCAGTTAATACACAAACATTAAATATTTAATGGAAATGGTACAAAAATAAAAAGACACAAAGAAATCTCATTTAAATGCAACCATTTAGAAGGATTGCAAAGTAAAAGAAATAAAACTTTAAAATATATCAGTATAGAGCCAATTAAATTAGACTTTTTCTTTTCGTTTCTTTTCTTTTCTCAGAGCAAAATGAAATGTGAATGGGTTCTTACCTTGTTGGGCACAGCAGATACCTAACATAAAGGCCCATATGGAGACCCATATCCCCTGGCCAAACCCCATCCTGAGTGGAGTTTGGCACAAGGATACTGAGTCAGATGTTG